GAGGCGCCATCTCGCCTCGATCAAGGAGATACACGCTCTTTCACCTGGGACATAAAAGGGATGAAAGTGAAACAATCTCATCCACCACAAACCAGTACCCGGACAGGCGACCTGACATGAAGATATGAGGAGGAACTGACGATGCATGCAATCTTCATGTATTCGTATCGGATTGCGTTGTCGCGTTCAAAGCTGCTCATTTGCTAACTTTGCTAGTAGAATTTCGAATTTATTAGAACGAAAGAACTGATGAAACGACAAAATTTACTTTTAGACAGCATTCGATGTGAAATGCGAACCATATCTCATTTGACCTTGTTTAGTGGAGAGAAGGAGTCTAAAGATCGGACTCGTGAGAAAACCACAAACAGCCGGCCACGGCTGAACACCAGCTCGGGTAGGAAGATTCGGTCGAAGGTCTCACTCGTTTATCGACGGCCAGGGCGAAAGCCAGCGGAATCGGGAACTGGCATCGCTTCCGAGCGAAGGAAGGAGGCCGGTCGGAAGGAGGCCGGTGAATCCTCGAGGGCTCGTTCCCCCTCCAGTTACGGCGTCGACATCGATGTTGTTGATCGCGCGACGGACGATCGACCGCGTGACGGACGATCGACCGCGTTCCGTTTCCTTGTTTTGCGTTGAGGTTGCGAAGGAGCACGATGACGGCTCCAGATCTTAGTTCCAACCTATGAGGTGGCACGGCGCTGTTCGATCTCATTGGTGGTGTTGTCTCATGGCTTGATCCTTTAACCACAGCGTTCGGTCTGGTTCTGTCTCAGTCTCTCTGGCTAACCTTTTCCTTTCCATATCGTGGTTAGAACTTGTTCTTTTTTGTTTAGGCTTTTGGAATTTAAATGAAAATGAAATGAAGGTATTCACCCTTGGGTCTTGCTTTGGAAGCAAATTCATTTATTTTTCGTCACAGTGTGGCNTTGTTCTTTTTTGTTTAGGCTTTTGGAATTTAAATGAAAATGAAATGAAGGTATTCACCCTTGGGTCTTGCTTTGGAAGCAAATTCATTTATTTTTCGTCACAGTGTGGCTATACCGCGATTTAGAGATTTCCTGAACTTTAAGGAAAAGATGGAGATCTGTATCGCTCGACTGCGACTATCCTAAGGGGCACGTGCACCTTTATGTACTGTATAGCCTTATTTTGTGAACTTGGAAATTGCTTCAGATTCAAGCTAAGAGAGTGAGAGAGAACGTAAACCAGGGCAAGCAGACATCCCTGAAACTTCCGAAAACGACCATCATTTCCTCGACATGCCACCCAGGTCCTACGGGATGCATTCGCATCCCCACCGCACGACCGCACTCCCCGGACCACATCGGCTTCTCTCTCACGGGCATCACGCGGGGCCGGGGCCCGCGCAAATAGAAGTCGCGCGCTCCGAACTACTTCATGGTGACTTCGGGGAAGCAAAGCCCTGGTTCAGCTTCCAGCACTGACATAACATACACGGATGGCAATGCTTTGTGTTATGGGGTCCTCCGATCCTGAGAACAGACGAGCCTAGACTCGGAAAAAAAATACGCATCTCAGCCGGGTTTCGAACCGTTGTTCCCTAACACGAGAGGGCGACGCGCTACCACCGCGCTACTCACTCAGCCCAGCCTCCTTCGGCCAGGAGAAGTCGTAGCTGCTCGAGTTTTAGTCGCAAAGCGACAAAAATGAGATCTGTAACTTTTGAAGGTCTCAAGCTTTCCATCGATACCGGATTCGCTCGGATGCGATGAGCGGGAGAGGAGTTCCCGGACAGACAGACAGACAGAAAACGGTATTAATATATACTACCGGCCTATGGCCGCTATTGCGGCCTTCTGCCGTACAAAGCTGATGAGCAGTGAGAAAAAAGTTTAAGAACAATCTAAACCAGGTTCCCGCTGCCAAAACCTGATCTACAGTTCACGATGCAACTCATATACATGAAAGAGAGGCTGAGGTACAGCGCGCTACATCAGCCAATATGGACAAATTGCATTCAAAGTTAGTTCAACATGGGTAAAGTAAATAAATATGGAAGGAACCATGAAATATCAAGAAACGGGACAGACTTGGGAACAAAACGGAAAGTTTATATCATAACGAACAAAAATAATCCCAAAGTACGGATTTGACAAACAAAGTAGTGCTTCTTCATAGACAGCATCGTCCGTAATGGTGCCAGCAGACAGCATCGTCCGTAATGGTGCCAGCACCAGTTTCGCCATGCTCCGGTCCATCGATAACCTGGATCTTCAGCGAATACTCACGGCGAACTCGCGAGAAATGCACAAATGGCATGGATACTGGCTCCGTGAGTCCGACTTGGTGAACTATCTCTCCCCGAGACTTGATTATAGTCTTACCATAGGTATGCCCTGATAGGTAATTGACGTTGGCAAAAATGGAGCGGTTTGCTGACTTGGGTTGACAGGTGATGAATGCAGTCACTCGTTGCACCCGTGCTCACCTCGACTACTATTGGTGTTCAAATGAAATAGGGACTTTCAGTTACCTACCCTTAGATTATAACAACCATTGCCCCCTTTTCATTTGTACCACTAATACAAAGACATTTGCGTTCAAGTCTCTCACGATCGCAGGCATGTCGTTGCTAAGGTCGTTCCCAATCAGAAGAATTCATACACGAATCAGGATAGCTCCAATTTTAGGTTTTAGGAGGTGCATAAAGAGACCCAGAGTATCGAGATTGTTGACGATTTGAAACGGAAAGGTGGCCAGCCGATCGACGTCATCGCCACCGTGATCGTTTTTCACAATTTCGATGCTGTGGTGTGTCCGCAATTCGCCTTCCAAATTGGGACGACGCGTCCTCATTGACCAGACTGGAGTTCTCACTCTTGGGGCACAGAAGAAGTGCGTTTGATTTTCACTTCCGCATCACAGACCATATGCCGTTGCCCAAACAGCTCCTTCACCAGTTATCGGAGATAACTGATTACTGATAACTGGTGAAGGAGGTAACCTGGTAATCGCACGGAGAGCTCAGATGGATCGCCCCCTGTATTCCTGGAAATGTTTCACTGCACACATCGAACAAAAATCGAATTTCGTTTGCAGCAGCGCGCATGTTCCCTGTCGAACGAATCGTTCGGAACGATGGCCACAACGGGTTCATTTTAACACATTGGTGACGGGCCGCGAGAAATCTCGTAGTACGCTCGCGAGCGGTTGGTGACCGTCACCAATGTGTTAACGCAAGTCTCAATGATTTGACCGCGAGATGCTTTGCGAACAACTGGCAGCGCGCGTTCCATCGTTCCCTGCACTTCGGCGGGGGTCATCGGCGCTTCGTCCCAAATGATGGCGTCGGTAGCTGGAGTCATCGCCTGGTTTTTGCGCGATGAATGACACGTTCTGTATGCGAATCCGTGCGGGTTACAGGAATTGTTTGCCAATGCCACTTGCTCCGTCGATAAGAAAAACAGCGACGCACTTCCCGTTCCGAGTTGTCACGCGCTGCTGCATTTAAACCACTTTATCCGCTTCACGAACGAACAGTTGAGTATACCCTAATTATTGATTTAATTTTCATAATTTATGAAATGAATGTAGACTGGTCGTAGTCAAATGACAGACCTCGCCGGATGCTTTGAAGCAGTAAGGACCGTTTCCGGAAGTGTCAACAATCGTTCCACCAAAAGGGAGCAAACGCGCTTGCGCCGGTACGCTGCCTGATCAACTCGCAAAGATTGCGATCGTTTGCATCTTCCCGCGTCAACAACGTTCCCAACTCTGGTCGAAACTCAAATAGAATAAAATGTAACATCGTAACATGATCGTGACAACCTTGCCGAAGTCTTCACTTAGAAGCGGAGTAAAGCAAGACCGAGCAGTGCTCCACAGAGTAACTTTGAAAGGGATCGTGCGGGAACGGCTGGAATGACGTTGGGCGTCCCATCCAACGCAGCGCAGAGTGTGGGTTAAAGGTTCGACGCATACACGCACTGCTCTCCGCACAGCGTTAACAGCTTCATGTTGCTCTACAATTAGCGCATCTCTCCTCCGAGCATCAACGTCTTCACTTGCTCACTTGTCAGTGCAGACCGTTGCAGCCTCGCCGCTCCTCTTCCACGGGCGCATCGCATCCAACTTTCTTAACACTTTGCATACCGCTCATGGAGAACTCCGTTTTTGAGTCCTTTCGCGAGTCATTTTGCTTAGTCTATGGCCGAAAAAGTAATAGCCCTATCGCATCGAGCTTCAGGCTAAGGTAACTGAGGCTTAGGTCAGAGCGGCGGAGTTAACTGTCCTGTACTCAATAGGACAATCTGTTTAACCCATCCCAGGACCTGGAAAGGCACAGGCTTGAAGGCCTAACAGCTACAAGGACGAATCACGAAACGCGCCTACTCTATGACACGGAAAGGCGAAGGCTCGCAAGTCCATTGGCTACTTAGCCTATGTCGTGGAAGGGAAAAAGCTGTATAGGCCAGAGGCTACACCTACCACGCCTTAGCGTATTCTAATGTATAGTATGAGTGGATGGATTGATTGGTACAGCAAAAATATAAACTTGGTAAGGGTGGTTTTCGGAATTTGGAGTTTAGGGAAGACCACAAGACTGATGTGCGGAAATTGGTAACCGTAATGATGGTTTGGTTCCCGTAAGCGCCTACTCCCCTTATGCCTATTTCCATTGTGTGCGACTCTGCCTACCTGAATTTCAGAGTCCCTTTATGCCAATTAGTGTCCCACAGCACTTGCATATTTTGTAGCAGAATGCCTACGGAATCGAACCCATGAGGGTTGCATCGTGAAGATATCTGACCCTCAACTCTACCATTCCACCACAAGAGGGACATGTATGAAGAGGCTATTTTGAAGCTGTATTGCTCCACTGTAGCAGTCATTCTCTGTCTGCTGCAAATTCATATGTAGAGGTTTCCTCCCCCATTTTTGCACCATGATGATGCATCTTTGCCAGTACAGGTGAAACAACAAATTCATTTCAATTGTTTTATTCCATTAATGTATGGGCATTGAATGGAACGTGTTCACGTACGACTCTTAATAAACATATCAACGACACAGTCCATTAATTCTCCGAGAGATATTGCTTCTTGGACCAAGGCACTTTTGAGGTTCTTCCGCTGGACGTCCCGAGGTCTCTGTTTCGCCTGGATGCCTGAGCTGGCTTGGAGCTTCTGGATTGCAGATTCGACTGAGGACTGTTCTTCCTGAAGGGTTCGGATAACCTGGAAAATACCAGGGTGCTTCTATTTCAGAAGATTGTTTATCTTCGAATGCCAGCCTTCCACAGCATTTGTTGTCCTGTGTTGCCTGCTGTCAGCATGATTCCATAAAGTTCTCCGAATTTGGGGGACATGTCATCGCTCCAGGTCTCTATAAATTAGTCAAAAAAAGTTCTCAGGCTCACTTCCTCGGTGCAGGTCTCTATCGCCAGTTGGATAGCGTCATCGAGCTTCGGTAAGGGAATGAGGGGCAAAGCCATGAAGCGCCGAAGGCATTGTCGGACGTCAGCGTTCGTCCTATACCGGGAAGAAAGTCCAAGATCCTGAATTTTCTTCCAGAGAGCACTTGTGAAGAGGAAGAAGCACCCCTTAATTGCTGCACAGGGGAGAGATTGAGAGAACACATTGAGGATCGCACGCTCAAAATCCACTAACACACTTCGGCTTTAGTTCAAGGCCATGCTGTTCCAAGATGTCGTTAACTATGAGGTAAAGACGTCGATACGTGCTCTCGGTTTTATCCGGCAGGAAAGCAGCCAGCATAGAAGAGATCTTTCCCCTGAACTCAACATGGATTGTATAGAGCTGAAAGAACAGTTTCGTGGACGCGTGGAACGTCCCATCCATGAAGATTTGCTCAGCATGTGCTATTTTCCAAAGGCTTTCTGCAGTACTGAAAATAAGTATTCTCTTCCCTCCGCCTTCATCTCGTAAAAGGAAGGGACGATGATGAGCAATGGTGAGCAGATAATTGGGTGGGATCTGGAGTTCTGCCCGTGACCTTGGCATCTTGGGAAAAGTGCTGGATCTGATTTGATATAGAGTACTTTTCACCGTTTCGTAAGATTGAAGCCATTCTTCTTTGTCAGGGTGTTCGGCTCTCATAGCCAAAAATTCCTCCCTATACAAGGCTGGTATGGGAGTGAGTTGGTCCCTTTTCACTCGCTCTCGGAGTCTTGAGGCAAACCGAAGCCGATGGACATTGCCTTTGGGTTCTTCGTGTGCGTGCTTCCCGAAAGAGGCTTTCAGCAACACATCTTCAGTGATAGTGACCGTTGCATTGCAGCGAGAATTATGGCATTTCCAGTGAGACGTTTCACCTTGTCTTCTGGAGTATTGACGTTAGAATTAAATACATGGGGTAAAAGTAATCAAGACCAGTTGAATTTCAAATGCACAAATTGTGAAAATGGCTCGAACCTGTTCAATCTGAAGAGGTATCCTTCATGGAGAAGATTCCGTCCTCCTCGCAGACCCTCCAGTATTCGTACTGACATGACGGCGATCGTGATTGTGAGATTGATCCGGTCAAGAAAACCCATTTTATAGGACTTGGGAAAAAAACTTGCTGTGGTTGTGCCATTATGCCACAAGGTCATGGAGTTTGCAGGGCAATTTCGACGTTGACGTAGACACACTGGGACACTCACCCCCGGGGGTTGGCTTGTTATGCCACCGCTTGCTTTCCGTCCCATTCTGCCACCGACCATGAGTCTTCATGGGCTCAGTCCCAAATGTACGCTGCCTGCACAGGCATTCATGAATTTCGGCAATGGGGCTCTGTTATACCGATGAAACGACACCTGTCCTATCCAATACGAAGTCGCCTCCCCATGACGGGAAAATAACGTTGTGGCAATAAGCGACTGTTTCCCTTGGATTACTCGGCATATTGCAACTTTTCCTAGGTATATGTATGCATTTTCGAACTGCGGCAGCGAGGTAGGCTTAAACCAACTATTTCGTCCCAGTAGGTACAATGGGAGTAGGCAGCTACGGGAATAAGCCGATGCACCCTGGTCAAGAATCATTTTTCTAGTCTTAAATGCACCATATTTCTGGAAGCAATGTACGAAAAATCTGCCGACTGCGAATTTCGTTTCTTGGGGACAATAGAACATTGGAAACCTACCTGAGAATACCCTAACTTTGAGAACGTTTTATCGCATCGTATGTCGTCCCTCCTTCGTTGAGGAATAAACTACAAAAAAGGAGAAACTCCACGAAATGTAATTTGACATTTTTTGCGAAATGAAGTAAAACATGACATACGGCGAACACATACGACAACGGACATATTACGATGATCAACGAGAAAAAAGAATGTCTGTTTAGCACATGCTCCATCATCGACATCTGAGCGGAGTTACTCGGAAACGGTCGGGAATCCCTGGGGACAGCCTGCATCGTTTTTGTGGGGCGGGCGAAGAGGGATCGCCCAGGCGCCAGCGGAAGGGGGGCGCGGCGCAAAGAAACACATTAATAAAAACAAGTATTTTTTTTTATTTGGTTAGGGTGGAAGAAAGTGCCTTGACTTGGCTTTGATTATCTACAAATGTTACAAAATTATTTCCAGCTCCAGCTCCCTGTTAGCATCGGGGAAGAAGACCCTAATCGCCAGTTGCGGTGGTATTTCGCGTAGCAGTTGTTGATTTGGGTTGGGGGGGGGAAGCACCATTGGAACTCCATGCCCTGGGCGCCAATATGCTTAGAAACGGCCCTGGGGGCAGCTGTGCCCTATTTGGTCACGGCCTCCGAAATACTACCTTGTTCAATGTGAGTAATGGTGCCATTTGAACTGGCATCGGAGCGGAGTATGCCGTGTCTCCTGCCGTCTGCAATAAAAAAGTATTTAAAAAATTGTTAATAGCATCTTTGCCTTTTTATGTGGGCGTCGATAGGTTCTAGGTTTAAGGCAGGCACGCCATTTTCCCCACATTCACATCCTGAATCTCTATGGAGCTCTCGCCCTAAATCCAACCTTGAAACACGAGCCCCTCTCAAGATAAACCTGCACTAGTTTTTGTTTTAGGAATGTATGTAGGAATATAAGAGAAATATTTCTAATTTCAAATGATTTTCATTGTAATTAGAAATAATTCTTAATTAACGTCCGAGACGCCAAGTTCACCTTTCCATTTTGCTCTCATATTTTCCTCTTTCAACGAATTCGAGCCGGCTTTACAAAACTTTCCAATTGATATTTTCATCTTTTCTGCCTGCTCCTTACTAAGGTACGACCTGGAGAAGAACATTTAGCACACGACACTACGTTCCGAGTTGAACGCGAACTGCAAATCCCTTCTGTGCGACAAGTACATCTGCTTCTGCATCAATGGAACGACGACAGAATCGGACCCTTCCTACCCAAGTCGCTGTTGATTATGTTGCCGTGTTGTGAGTTTCACCGAACTATCTTGCTTGTGGAAGTTCTTTCCTTGCCATCTTCCCATGCTCTCAGGGGATGCAGCGGAGGGAGGTTCCTCCCATGGCAGGCGGATTCCGTCGTGTAGTTCATTCCAAGAGGGGAGGAGAGACGGATAACCTCGGCGGGGTTTCCGATATCAATGCATACTCTCGCTGTATGCGTTTTATCCAGGATGAATGAACAGCAGGTTTCTTGTCGTCTCTCTTTCGTAGTCAAGTGCACCCTCTCCAGCAGAAAGAAGGAACGTGAGCGAAATAACGTAAGAACGTAGGACGAAATTTTTAATGGGAAAGAAGTAAAATATGACATACGGTGAACACGTACAACAGACGTATTACGATTACAATGAGAAATTGTCTGGCGCTACTGACGACATCCGGCCCGTAGACCTGAACGACGACCAAGACTCCAACTTGCTCCAGTCTGAGGCGGATCAGAACGACACACCCGCTGACTGGGTTCCATTCGATGACGCTTCTTGTCAGTTGGGGACTAATGAGTATCCTTACTCCAGCCTGAGCAAACACGGTCGAGTCGACTCCACTCCAGTAAAGGGGCCATCCGTGGTAGACCACGGATGGACCCTTTACTGGAGCGGAGTCGACATTACTGGGTAATGGAACCGGTGCCTTTCCTCTTGGTTGAGGCCAGACCAACTATTTCTAGTCGTTTCCTCCTAGTCTCCTCCACGAGTTCAGGCTCCTTACCGCAGAATGTTAGCACGTTCCAAGTCCCGATGTTCAGAGTCCGTTGCCAAGGTCGTTTACCGTTCGATTCTGCTCCTGGTCTGCCCTTGGGGCATCGTGCCGAAAGAACGCTATGGCCGGTGGCAAGCCGACCGATAGGCATGGATGTAGCATGACGGGGTCCGACGCACCCAAAGACATCGGATTGCCCCGCCCCAGTAGCCAAATTATCGATACTCACCCTGGGTGCATAGTGACTATCGCAGTTCTGATTATCCTGGGCGACGACTGAGCTAGTATGGAATCCCCGAGCCGAACTCATCATGTTGTATTTGGTTCGTCTCGGTCACCCTCTACGGAAGCCCCTATAACATGGTTGGACCTGAGATAGTACGGCCTTCCGCATCACTGGGGTCAATCCTCGCGACGTGGACGCGCGAACCATTGAGGACTCCCTGAGAGTATCTTAATTGAAACTCATTTGGCATCCACTCGCCCATGGCCTCGCAACTTCTTAATCCGGCCCTACACTGCTGCTGTTTTTTTTTTAACAGTTGTGTTTCATGAGATAAATCATAACCTATGACAGAAACCCTTTTCGATTAGTACCTCATGATGAAACTCATCAATGGTTAATGTTAGCTATTTATCCCGTGACAGCAAACACCAAGTTTGATTTGCATAGACCCTTGGAAAGAGAAGGCCTAGACTGAAAGAAACATCATAATAGGACTGTCAGGCCGCGTGGATATTCCAAATAGAAACTTCAGCCCATCGATTACCTACTGCGTAATCATTATTGGCCTTAGGAAATCCCTCTGGCAGAGAAAAAGAAGCATTTTCGTTTTAAAAACAATCTTCTTCTGAATGCTTCCATAAGAAACCCATTGAAGCTTGCGCGCTTGACTCCACCCAACTCATGTTTATGCTTCCTGCCGCCAGATATCGCCAACTTAATGCACCCAGCGAATAGGTATTTGTGCATAGAGTGCTTGTTCCCTCGCCGGTGCCCCCCAGAAAGGCCCATTCCCTGAAGCGAGTCAGGACTCGCTATGATGCAACACGTTGACCGACACGGAAATCTGGCCTATTGATTTTCCCATTCAGTGAGGTGCGCCTCGTGGCGGTCAACCTGCTAATTGTTGCCTGAAGGAACTCAGCAGTCCTGAGAATATATCAAAGCCTGACTCGCAGGAAAGAACGCCACTGAACAAGAGAAGTCGTATTTCTCGACTACTTTTTGCAATCGTTCTGGTACTTTTTGCCTTTTTACTCTTATGCACGACGATAAGGCATTTAAATTGACTTTATTGTTTCTTGTCCAGCCGTCGAAACCTTGATTTCCACTTCACTACCCCACTCAAAGTACTTTGCAGTGTGTAGGTAGTTGGAAGTTAGTTTATAAAATACGTTTCCAATGTGCTTTTCAGGCTCTCCTGCAATAATGCCAACCCGCATCCCCTGTAGAAATCGCATCGGCAGGGAACGAGGAAGGCAACTACTGGCAACTGAACTGGAAATAGAACCGAGCTGCGACTGAACTGTCGTTTTTAGTGGGCCGCCTTTCCTGAAAGGAAAAAGACCACTAATGATCCCGTCCAGTCCTTCCGTGTGTCCGTATGTCACACTTTGGTCGTCTGTCGATAACTAAGAAAATATTGGCCTGACCAATGCAAAAATTGGTAAGCAGGTAGATATAAACAATATACGAGCTAATTTAGTTTTGTGGCGAATTTGCACTAAAATTAACATTTTTATTGCAAATTTTGTATTTGAAATTTTTTTCATGAAGGGGAAGGCAGAGGTACCCGTGAGTCCTTCAGGATCTGGATCACAATGCGCATGCGCCTACGACCCAGGCTTTGTGCGCGGTGCCGTGTCAGCCACCAGAACTGTCAGTTCCCTACCAGTTCCTTCGTGGCGGATGGTTCCAAGCACGCACAGCCCTCCATCCTCCCATCACCATTTCATGGCCATCATGGGTATTTTTCAAACATAACCCAAAAATGATGTTTTTGATGGCCGAGGACCGGAAAGAGTTGGCATTGTTTATATTATCATATTATGAATTCAAGTCCTACGCGTGCCGCCTTTATTGAGTGCTTCAATCATCGATCCTGACAGGAAATTATTTTTTGTGTTTGGCGAATCCCTAGCGCACGGAAGAACGATTCCTCGACCACCGACTCACACCCAAGGGGGATCAGAGAGACTCTTCTCAGATCTGCGCAGAAACTCTATTTTGGGGTGGGAACGGCTCGGAATGAAGGGCATGCTGTGGAGGTCGACAGGGTGGCGAAAGCGAGCCTGTTGGCACGGGAAATCGTGCAAGATCGTTATATTGCGAAATCCGAAACTGAAGGAAATACACCGAAATATTTCCTTCTTTGGGTTGACTTGTTTTAGTTCGATGTCTGGCCATCTCTCTTTGGATCGGAGCTGACATGAAAATTATTTTTCGGTTACCATTATTCCCAATTTTTTCACTTTTATTCCTAACGATCCCAGTTAACCCTCACTGAATTTTTCCTGTTCAGATGTCTCTGTCTAAAAGAGTTCTGGAAAGTATGAAGATTCTAATAGCCAACCCAATAGCCATTTTTCAAGCGCGTTATAGCGTTTCGATCATGATAGGAAACTCAGGAGAAGGGATGCGAGAGCACATTTTTCAAGCATTTTTTCTGTCTGGACATATTGGAAATTCATGGAAGGGAATATTTTTTGCTTGCCGATTCCTTTAAGTATTCTTACATGATACGACGATGCAAACCTTGCCACTGTCCTTCATAACGACTGCTGCTAAGAGAGTGAATGAAATTAAGGAATCAAGTAACACATCAGCAACATACGTACAATGCTGCCAGGGTGGCTCTGACAACCCCGAGTAGATTGTATTACGGCTGCGGAAGACAAGGGAGTGCGTGTGACCTGTCTTGGCCCTAACAAGAGAAGCAGTGAGTCGTCAGGGCCAAAGCGCCTGTTTTTATAGTGGAACGGCTCGCTGACGTCATCACATGCGCAAGATTTTACCCCCCTCTCTCCGACCTCCCTTAGGTCTCTCCGACCCCCCTTGGGTGTGAGTCGGCGGTCGAAGAATCATTCTTCCGTGCGCTTCAGATTCATCAAACCCGAAAATAATTCCATGTCCAGTTCGATGATGTTCAAGCATTCAGTAAACACAACACGCGTAGGACCTGAATTCATAATCTGATGGTGTACAGTAAACGTCAACGAGACATTTACCGCTCGTCCTGGCCGAACCCGTCTCGTCGATGACTGACTTAAAAACGACAGTTCGGTCGCAGCTCAGTTCTATTTTCAACTCAGACTTCAGTCGCGATCTTCCTCGTCCCCTGCCGTTGCGATTCCTACGGGGGATGCGGGTTGGCATTATTGCAGGGGAACCTGAAAAATACATTGGAAACGTATCTTATGTATTACTACCGCCTATAGTACTTCAAAGTACTTTGAGTGGGGTTGAGAAGTGGAAATCAAGGTTTTGAAGGCTGGACAAGAAACAAAAAATGTCAATCTCGGGTCAGCGTGACCGAACGCTGTGTTGCATACCAAGAAAAAAATTTTGCCGAGCGTAGTTAGGGATCCACACAACGTGCATATCAAGAGCGCATGTGCGGAACCTCACATGGCAATGACTGGGTTGCGCCACGTGCAACTCTTCAGCTGTCGGTCGGCGGTCTGCATTCACCTTGTGAAGATGTCACGTTTCGAACAGCGTGCTGATGGGAAATTTTGAACGGGAAGAACGGTGAATAAAGACGTACGTAGATGTGAAAGCAATCCGGAGGAAACGACCACAGATGCGGGCAGACAAGAATTGGATCCTCCTTCACGACGACGCACCAGCGCCGATGAGCCGTTACTCGACACTGGCACAGTCGAGCATCCCCCCCCCCCCACCCCCCCACTCCCCGGACCTTTCACCATACGAGTTTTACCTTTTCCCAAGAGTGAAGAAGTGCCTGAAGGGATGCCGTTTTTCCTATGAGGTAAAGGAAGTTACGGTGGCGGCACTGAATGGGGTCGTTAAAAAGTCCAGTTCTCTTTCCGTGAACTTCACAGACGTTTGCAAATGCGTGTAGAAAGCCAGGGCCGCTACTTTGAAGGTGACCCAGCAACAGTGCCGTAACGCTCACCGTCCGCGCACAATAAACCCGATCTCGAAACTTTTAGAACCTACCTAGTAGAACCGTGAAAACGTCATATGACGGGTGTCTCCGTTAGAAGGTTAATATGAAATTTCAGCTCCAATTCCATTCCGTTCCGTGAATTACAGCAGTGCGGGAGTGAGACACCAACTATTTTTTTCCCATTAGCAAGCATCAGCTGCGGGGTTTTTTTTCTGTTGTGAGGGGAAAAACTCCCAGCCTTTCCTGCGTATGCTTTTTCATCTCTCGATTTGTTCAAAGTTTATGTCCTTTTTCTCCTTTCTCCAACCCCTTCCTGTTATTTTCGTGTAGTGTATTGCAGTATTCTTCTCTGAGAGCATTTTGAGGAAAGGAATTCGGCGTGGCTTCTCTCCCTCCGAACAAAGAATCACCGCAGTAAATCTGAAACTCCATCTCCCCGGGGTTTGCGAAGAAAACAGGATCTCGTTTATACAGGTGTGAGTTTCACCCGGTTTTTTTCTCACCCTTCCCCCCCCCCCCTATCCCCATCCCTTGGTAAGGGAAGGGGAGAGGCTTCCCCATGTGCATGTATGTACGAGTGTGTAAACCTGGAGGGTTTTCGGAAGTGATGGCCTGATCAAAAGAGAGATATGAGCTTGTGAAGGGAGATACGTGCTCTTTCTGTTCTTGGTAGTACACCTTTCCTTGGTGAAAAATGAAATTTATTTCGTTTATTCAGGCCTACAGTGCTGACTCCTGCCCCATCTCCCACGGTTGCCGGATATCGAGCAGGAACTGTCAGTTTCATGACTATTTCTGCTTTCGTATGGGTAGCCGAGTCTTCAGTTATTATCAAGTTTTAATGCTGAGTTTATGCGATTAGGCGAATTTTAAACATCGGTCAGCGGTGGCCGATCGATGAGGTACAATATGGACATATCGCGCATCTCTGCTGATAATGGCGTCCACTCATCATCCGAATTCCGGAGGCAGTCTGTCCTCAGACAACCTCGCGGAGACTGTTCGAGATTCTCAAGATAGGCACGTCGTAGGCCTAACATCCTACTCCTCACAGAAATGCCTGTTAACCCCGTGTTAGACTCATCAAAAGCCTAATTAGCTCGTCAAGTCGTGGCTTGTGATTCTTTTGAGCGAAGAAAGGTATGTGACCAGAAGACAATCCGTGGGTTAGGCCTACGCCTAACGAGTCCCGGGATCTCTTCTCATTCAGAATCAACTATTGTTGCCACAATTTTGAGTCATTCATTGAGGATATGGAAGCTGATTGCAACGATGACAGAAGAGGGGGAGGGGGGAAGAGAGGAAGGCCTTTCATTATGAATTTCACATTACTGTAGCTCATCTTTGGTTTTCTCCTTGGGCGGATTCCTCTTGGCTGCCTTTCGGTAACTATTGATCATTTGGTCCTTTGGTGGCCTTCCGCTCGTGCTAGATAACCAAGATAACTTCTTGATAACATGCAACACATCCCAGGGCTCGTGTTTCTTCCGATCTCAAATAGTTGTGCATTTTCAGGTAAATTTCAAACATGGATCTTTTCATAGTCCTCTGCGCCGTCATCAGGTTTTTCTTCGTCAGCGATCGAGTCTCCAATCCCAGGTTAACGTCGTGGCAAGTAATATATTTAGAGATTTCCCTCTCTAAGCACATCGGCTTCTTACTCTTACGACTCTTGCTCTCCTTTTGCTTTCGTCACTGCTGTCTCCGTTCATCTCGAAAAACAGTCCGAGGCACAGGCGCTCCGCCTTTACTTCGGATTCTAAGCTGCTCGTGTTAGTTATGTGCCTTCGTATGATTCCCTGCAATGTCCCATTTTTACAAGCTCCTTGCCAGAAGCCAAAGAGCATCGTTCAATGTCGAAAAGTGTTCGTTTGGAAATGTCGGGAGTGACGTACTTCTCTTTCCATCCTCCTTGTGAAATGACAAGTAAGCTGCCAATGCCCGAATATCGAGCATGCCTTCCCCGGGGAATAGTGATGGGATGGGCGATTTTCTCAACGTTGCCTATATACTCGTTTTGTTAGCTGCTCCTTTATTCAGGTTCCCGTATTCTCAGTATCGAGTGACTGGTTCATATTCCGCATGAAGATTGTGAAATAGAATTAAAATTTTTATGAAATTGCTCTTCCAAAAACATTAAGCGCGAATGGATCTGCGCAGATGCGAATGGATCCAGGAATTCTTTGAATCCAGAATGGAAAAGAGACAAAGGGAATTTATAGTACCGGTATGGCTGAGTGGAATCTTTGAGCACTTGCTTCACTTCCCCGGCATGGGTTTCAAGCCAAGTGAAATATAATTCAGTCACAAAAATGTAATCTGCACCATCAGAAAGGAAGTAGAGACGCGGACAAGCTTCGGGAACTGTGCAAATTTGCACTGCAAAATTACCGCGTAGGAAACGTCGCGGAACTGGGGGATGACGCCCTCGGTTTGCAGTTGCCCTATCTCCTTCGTATTTGTCTGAAACGTCTTATTCCACGTGAGAATCTGTCGCACCCACGAAAACATGAAATAACTGTACTTTTTGCAAATATCTATGAATAACTATTGTTTACTCAAGAATTGATTTTTTTGCTCGAAACTGTTGTCAAGTTCCTATAAAATTGTGAAGACTTCCCGTAGACAGGAAGTCTCGATCCAGCCGACCTGTTCGAGCCGGTCGTTGAAAGTAGGCTCAATGGATCGACCTACAATCCCAGCTAGAGAATCTCGAGAGGCATCAACGAGGTGATAAGGGGGAAGTGACGTGGGTATCGTCTGATAAGGGCAAAAATAGGAGATTCCCTCAAATGCATCAGAGTGATGCGCCTTCACCGTCATGGCGAGAACGTTCTTTTTCGTTCTCGGCTCCCTCCTTCTGGGCATCTTTGCCCTCATCCCCGATCAGGATTGCCCGGTTGGATTCTGTGATCGCGTGTCCGATTGTGCCCTGTTCGAAGGTGATTGTCCCAACAACAATCTCACATTCAGTGTCGAGAATGGAGGCATTTGCGGCTGCTGCCGGGCCTGCGTCAGATTTATAGGTAAGTCCAGTCAGGTTCCTCGCACAAGGTGAGAACAGGCGCACAGGAAATCTCGAGGAACGACAAATTCCAAATATTTCCTCTCGGCTGGTAATACGACGAAGTGTCGTCAACTGCGCGGAAATCTCTCAACTGGCGCAAACTGCCCAGGACCAAAGTGCTCTTTCCAGCATAAAGGACTGAATCTAATGTCCATGTCCTCGCTTTTGAAACGACATCTTGTAGAAGCTGCGGCAAAATTACTAGTATAATTACTCTAATTACTAGTATAAACTATGCCTTTCATCGCGGCTCTAATGACACGTGATGCGTCATTATTGCTGACAAGAATTCCGTGTTATAACAGCGAAATATATCAGGGGAACGGAAAGAGAAAGCGATATTTCAATAAATTGTCGACATCTTTTTATTTATTTATTTTTACATAAGATCAAATGTGACTAGGACCTGAAGGCGATGAGTTTTGTGGAAGATATCTGCTACCAGGCCAGTTACTTTCACTTAAAGGAAACAGTCGAGACCTGCAGATTGCCTGCATCCATACTAGCAGGTGCGGAATTCAAATATGAACTGTGAAAAAAAAATTCTCCACTCTGAGACCGAGAATTGCTGCTGTCTTTGCAGTATCAAGTTCCAAGACAGGGTCCTATTTTTCTCATGGACAAGGTTGCTAGCGATATTCTCGAGAGTGTCACCAGTAAACCTCAGGCGCATAGAGACATTTCAGAGACAGATTCGAGGTTTCTTGTCCGATGTCACTCAAGAAAATTTTTTTTCGAATTTTCCAATTCTGCGTCGTAAAAGTTTCCGACTTCGGTCATGTAAACCTCAATTTCGCCTAATTATTGGGGGGAGGGGAATTAAAATGTCGGCCCCTTCTAGAAAATGCTATTGTATGTGCGCGAAATTTACAGTAAATGGTATTTCCAAGGAGTGACTCGTAATACAAATATCTCCTGATAATACGAAACTTTCCGTACCAACACCTCGGGGATTTAATCCCAAATCCTGCTTGATTCGGATCGAATGAGCTGCATCGCAGATTCTTCTCAGAGGGGAAAAAAAAAACGATGAAAGCACACCCTGCTTAACGCAGTCGATCGGCGGCCCACACCGCACTCAAATAAAGTCAACCATGAATATTAATGCTTTCGAGTCAATCGGCCGTCTCTGACGATTTTCTTCGCATCGAAGTACGGGAAACGCTACGTCTCACCCTTCCGTGAAAGAAGCGAACGGATCGATGAGGGCAAGTTGCGAACGAAGAAGACATTTCGGTTCTTTGGAGAAATATTCCGAGAGGATATGGGACATCTTCGATTAATAAATGCAATTAAGGAATCCCTGAAATTCCCTTCTCGAACGAAAAAACCGATTCTGAATTTTTTTTTTTTTACGGAATCTTGAATCACCTGCGATTTCCAGTGAGCAACTGGAAATAACGTCTTGCTTATCCACGTTAAGCTCTGGGATGGATCAAGTGTTCCAATCACGCAGCTCTGGATAAGACGAATAAGAAGAAATATCCGGGATTAAGATAACGACATTTCAAAGGTAGAAGATTGTAAAACTCATTTCCATTAAGTTTACGTTAAGGCGTAACTGTTGAAGTTAAAAAAAATTTACAGTAGAGTTCGGTTCTGAAATCGTTTACCGATTATGGGACTCTGTACTCTAAAACATGTTGAAATTGACTCCATTAGTTTCTTATCATGTCGGGCCCACCGTTATCGACCTAGTTCGTGTATATTTAGTGAACGTCAGAGAGTTCATCATTTTCTCACAGCTTTTCTATTGAATTCCGCCTCATTGTGGAATGATGCGAAATCATGCAATGGTTTAGTGCATCATTCCCTTCTCTACAGGTACATGGTGAGATTCAGCAATGAGATTGGGGCAACGGAAAAAATCCTGAAGGAGAGGGACCAACTTTATGTATTTATTTCGCGAGGCGTCGCAAACAGTCGCGGCTGGGTCTCTTATTCATGAAGGTCGAGGCTGGATCTCATATTCATGAAGGTCAAGGTGGACATAGCCGTAGAAGCTTGACGTTCGGCTTATGGGCTATTAAATCGCGACGGAAAATGCGTATGCCTATTTTTACGCAGTTTGGATGCTCCGTTAGAAAATCCCGTGAATCTCAGGCTTCTTGAAGGCCTTCTCAAGTCAAAAAAACTCCCAAAAGTTAACGGCAGCCCTGGACCTGATGCTGCTCCATGATCACAGCATGAGATTGGGCCTGGACTCATTTCGTGCATGGGCAGGACATGGCGGAAACTCCCCGCTTACTTATCGTCTGAATCATAGCATTCCGATGATTCATATTCCGCTCTCGAGCCAGACGGAAGAAGCGATCTCGCTTTCGCTCGTAGCGTCCGTGCTCGCTTGGGAAAAAAGCGGGACTCCAGCATCTCTTCCTCGCTCATTCCATCGAGTCGTTCCTAGATTGAAAATTATTCTGATTTTGAGGCCATGGGCTATGGACTCGTGGTGGACCAGGCAGAATGCATGCCGTCCGACGCAGCATTGCGTCTCCGATCTGGAGAAACGCGAGGAAATGGAAAACTTATCAATTTGTGTTGAAATTGTCAGAAATGTCGGTGCTTGCTAATTCCTTGCTCACCGTGGCACGATAGCATGTGGAAATATTGCACATCTGAAAAAAAAAAAAATAATAATAATAATAATAAATAAAACAAAAACAAACAAACAAAAACAAACAAACAAAAACAAACAAACAAAAACAAACGAACAAAAACAAACGAACAAAAACAAACAAACAAAAACAAACAAAAACAAACGAACAAAAACAAACGAACAAAAACAAACAAACAAACAAAAACAAACAAAAACAAACAAACAAAAACAAACAAAAACAACTCACCGAAGTTCCCGGTCTGTGGAGTCCCGCCTCATAAGACCCGCCGTAGAACTTCGGCGGACAGCGCGAGAAACCGAAAATCTTTGCAAGAACGTCAGCTCGAACCTTCTCATTCCGAGACGGACGGCGATGGCTCCCGGCCAAGTCGAATCCAATCTTCCTTCCGCCTCACCCGACGCGACCCGCACGAACCTCCTCGCTTCCCTCAGAGAAGGCAGTTGCTTTCCCCTTCGTGCCATAGTCGTGAAACGCCTTTCGAAGCGAAGGGAAAGTCTTTCCTCCCTTCTTCCTCTTTTTTTTTTTCATTCGAGTACGAGGATCTAACACTGAAAGATTGTGTGAAAGTACTGATCCGATGTAGCTTTATTTTGAAAAGAAAGAGGGACGTGGAGGCATTGGAAGTATGGAGCTAGGGTCAGAGATATCGATGTCTGAATAGATTTAGTTAGCAATCCTCACATGCGGGAGTGGGGCAAGGAGGCACTCGATTTTTAGCCGTGTCAGTACTGAAGGTCATTGAAAAGTCCATGTACACATTGATGCTGCTTTTTCTCTGCTGTAATGCTCTTCGAGAGCAATCAAATTACCTGAGGTCATTACTAGAGCATATATAGCTATAGAGATATCAAGTTTTTCATGCCGTAACGTCAGTCTGCAGTGTTCAAAACATTGTCTCATACCTCGGAAACTAAGAGTGCCAACACAGAAAAAAATTGCAATGTTTTTTTTTTTTTTCCCAAATTCGCTACTTGACCCTCCGCAACTCTTTCCTTAAGATTGAATGACTCAAGTGGAAACAATTGCTTAAGAGCTCCCATCATGATGCAGGTAAGCTTAATTTAATAATTCCCTTATAATTGAATCATGCATCTTTCCAGGACCAAATGAAGCCTGCTCTATTGAGGGCCAAAGAAGTCGTCTGGGGATGGACGGAGTGGTCGACTCAGGTCAATGCCTTCCTGGGTACGAGTGCAAGGATGACATTTGCGCCGGTAACTATCATATAATATGATTCATGTCCTTGTGCCATTTGTCTTTGCCATTCTCGATTCCTGAAAAATATTTATGAAGACAGCAGAGTCGAAGAAGGGCATTCCAGACGAAAGACATTCCTATATGGAAGCCTTGGAGCATTTTATTCTGCTGAACAAAAGTGAAATCATTGGCTTTTTCCGGCGCCAACTGTGCTGCATTGCATTGCTTCGAAGGAGAGCAAGTGAGGTGCAACACGCCATGCAATCAGCGACAGTTGCCGTGGGAAAAAAGTCAACTATCGTGCATTCCATTATAGCATAAAATGCTGTCGCTAAAACTCGTTAGAGCCAGCGTTAAGTTACGATATAGCTTTTCCATTAGCGCTCAGTGATGTAGTAATGAAGTAATGCAACATTTATACATTTCGCGTGGAATAAAGTCCTAGTGGAATAAAAAGCTGGAGGAGACCTAAAAAAAATATTCTCTCCCTTTCTTATAAAGGACCAACCATTAGCAAGAACAGGGTTCTTAAGTTTCTAGGCGTGTTCAAACACCTGTATCTTGAATACTATTCATCGTAGAACAATAATATATGGTGAACACACCTTTGAGACCATGGAAAACACGTTTCCCTGGTTAACGACGATGTCCACTAGAGGGTGCTCCATCTACTCAATATGACCACCATTCATGTCCACTACGGCTTGCAGTCGTGGGAAGACATGATAGATGGCTGATGAACGAAGTTGTCCAATGTTCAACATCATGATGATATGATGTCGGATGGCATCTTTCAAGTCTGTTAAGGGAGCTGGACCTCTTCATCAGATCTCGCAACGCCTAGCAGCTGCATGGTCCCTTAAGAAGGCCTGTCTCACGTTGATGACAGCGTAATGCTTCATCAGCATTAGTGGTATTGCTGTAATACTGACGTACGAGAGCGATCCATACACGTAATGATAACCTGTTCCGTGTCTTGGTTTACGACAAAACGGACGCTGGCGAGTGTGTTGGCGTTTTTAGGCCGGGACTACACTAATCTCAGTTTTCAGTGTAGAAAAGCCTCGAGGCTACACTGGTCTCAGTGGTGGCAATGAAGATCAGTATAGCCTTGAGACCAATTGCAGACCCAACCTTATAGTACCAGACTTGTAACAGCCTATGCAAATGTAGGGATCCATGAAGCCTTCTGGTGGATACTGTCGTTTACCAAGGAAACGTGCTCCCCGTGGTCTCAAAGGTGAGTCCACCAAATATTATTGCTCTACGATGGATAGTATTCAAGTTACAGGTGTTTGAACACGCCTAGAAATTATAAGAACCATGTATTTTTCCTCTGGAATGGATCTTTACGACTTCATCATGCATTGGACTGTAAAGTTGGGCGTCTGATGCCTTGAAGGAAATTATTTCACTCCATGAGAAACGTGTTACCTTTTAGAACCAAATTCGCAGCAAGTACCGTGTCTAGTGAAGGCATGGAATGCCTTGCTCAAAGCTAATGCTAACCCGAACATCAGAACATGGCTTCACATCCCGAAGTGTGAAGTGCGTAGAAAGGAGGAGACGGGAGAGGAGACGACGATGTTCGAAGGCTTCTATTCACACATCCAATGTCAAGGAGGCAAATCTGGGAGGTGAGTTCTCACAATAGAGACGGTGAGAGACTTTACTTCTGCACTTGCTGTCGCACAAGCTGCTCTAGCAATCTACTGTTTTGGCCATCTTTCAAGGGAACCGTCGAATCTCGTACAAACTGAAGATGATGGTTATGGACACGCTGGCGTTGCCAACTATCAAATTAGCTATGAAAGCCTCTTGAATCAAGCGCTATTTAAAAAAAATTCCACTATCTGGGCACGGTAAAACTCAATGCAACCATGTCAGTCTTTTTGGAGTTATTCCCTAAATAAAAAAAAAAGAAAGTAGAAGATCGCAGGCGTAAAAGTCAAATAGACCGCAGACATGTCCGTTCCGTTAGTTCTTTCTTCTATAGACCCACTTCATAGAAAAGGTTGAATATCTCCCTACTTTGGAAAGTCTACTTTCTTTTCTAATACAATGCGGTTCAAAATTTGACTGCTCTACAGCCCAATTTAGACAAGGTAGCAGAAAAGTCACCCGCAGACTGACGACTTTTGCAATTCAGGCAACGGGTTTCGTTGACAACTACAAAACTCAGATCAAGCAAGGAATAAAGGTAGGACATCTCTCGTGCTGATTCATTCGCCTTTTCATATTCTAGGTGTTATTGCGCAAACCCTATTGACGGTACGAAGCTGTTCGGCTATGAGTTTCAACTTGATGTCGAGGAAAAAAAGGATATGAATTGCGGTGAGTCCATTGTTGACATTTTATTATATTGAATAGTTTAATAAACTATTATTATTATTATTATTGTATTATTATCATTATGGGAAAACATTCACGAAATGCAATTCCTCTGGTTTTTCTTTGCCAGCAAGGTATCGGTATCTCTCCAGCAGGGTTACCACCATTACGGAATGCGCGGTTTTTTGCCTTGAGCATAATTTCGTATATTATATGCTTCTTGGAAATGCCATAATAAAACACTAGCTGAGAGCCAGAAAATCATCAGTAATATCCACCAAATTACTTGTAAGGTCACACTACTCAGATTAGCGTTCGACCACTAAATCCACTGCAAATGCAGCTTTCTAATCTTTGTTTCATGCTCATTCACCGTACGTTTTCGTTACTGAAACATTGAGACCAGTCAAAACAGATCGCATATCACAGACTCCGCTTGAAAAGATTCTTCCTAGGGGCACGTTCATCATCAGCGGCTCATGGAAGCACTATAGCGGCGCGTCGGTTTCTTGCGACCGCCTTGGCCGCAGTGTTCGCTCCGAACGTATTTGGGTGAAGCAACCTGCCTACTGGGAAACCTCATGAGATACTCATGAGGTTTACGGACAGAGGTCTCATGAGGTACTCATAAGGCACATAGGATCCTCATAATCCTCATGAGGACGTTTCAAAGCCTCATGAGGAACTCGGCAGATCTCATGAGAAAGTTGTGAGTTCTCATGAGAACTCATGAGTTTTTAATTCGTTTTTTTTTTTTCTGCAGGGCTCCCTCAGCATCCAGTCGGTGATGCTTAATCATGGGTCTCTTCATCCAACCGAGCACATTGCATTGACGCATTGACGCAGACAAACTCACATAATTCTGTCAAATTCCGTTTGTGACATATTTCCCTCTGGGCAAAGATGCAAACATCTTAACGGTCCCCTGACCTCTCTGCTGGACGAGTTTAAATAATGATGCTTTCGAAAAATCCTGAAAGCATACCTGCAGGCAAACGGAATTAAGTAGTCATGACATAATTGAAACTGGAATCAACCAGTGAAATTATTCTGTGTCGCGGATCCCCGGTTCACAATTCCTTCCTACCACAGTTTGGTCTAACGGTTTTTGTCGTTTTGTCGTCCGTTTCAAGAAATTCGAGCCGACTTCGTGAATTTTCCTGTTTGTTCCTTCCATACTTTCAGCTTGCACCTTGGAGTGGTTTGAACGGAGGCAGAGACTTGAACACGTGACACTTCGTTCCGAGTTGAACGGGAACTACAAATCCCTACAGTGCGACAAGGACATCTGCTTCTGCGTCAACGGAACGACGACAGAATTCATCGGACCCTTCCTACCCAAGTCGCTGTGGACCATGTTGCCGTGTTGTGAGTCTCGTGAATCCCCACCACACCGCGTCGCCATTGACAGCCTTCGAAGAAGGTTCGAAAAAGGCCAAACTCTTTCATCTGGGAAAGTAAAATCAAGGGAGGAAAATGTTTGACAGCGCAAGCATCCCTGCAGATGCCCTCCGGCATGCCGGGAGGGGCGAAGGAAAATCGCGGTGTCGATGCCTCCCAGTAGGCCCGCTCCCGTTGCAAACGGCTGGGGCAGTGGAAATAACTATCCCTCTGTGTGAATTTTATAAGACATGTCCAAAACTCTTGGGAGTTCAATAAGTTTGGGTGTGATCCCCATGCACATTTAGCTTTTTCCCTGTTCTCCTAATTTGTTCATGACTTCTTCGACTCACTTGGACTGGGTACAAGGTCAAAGGTTAACTAACGTTTTAGTTAAGTTTTGAAAGGGTCACGTTAAGAGTCCGCAATTCACACGTGACCCAACTGTTCAGTGGCTTCTCAACGTGTTTTAGTAACATCACTCCTTCACCGACCGTACTAAGCCATTGTATGGAACCTGACCAGATCATTATTCAGAGTGAGTCGAATAGGCTTGTAGCTCGGACCCGTTTCACAGAATAAAATACTCAAGTCGAGCATTTTATTTCCGAGTACACTGTAAATTCGGAACAGGCAACACGCATAACTGAATTTATTAGACATAGAAATTGATGAAGCATTTCTCTGATATCAAGGCATATAGATCATATTATTTTCTTGAATCTTTGAATCGCAGACGACCCCGAGGAGTTCCCAGACGAAATGTACTACCCTTTCAATTCCTGCGGTCACCACTACAACCTCTACAGAATTTATGCAGACGAGCTGGAGGCACATGGAACCATCGTAAGCTACGTAAACTATCCCGACTGTGATCCTGACGGCACCTACGCTCCCGCCCAAGTCGATGTCGACAGGTGATTCCTATGCCTTGCATACCTCCGTCTCGGGAGATGCGCCATCGTCATTCGCGCTCTGGGCGTTTTGCGACCGATACCGTTATCGGTGCTTTCGAGTGTTTGTTATCTCAAGTGCTTGAATGCGTAGGTTCGACTTATGCCTTGCTGTTGTGATAGATTCGTTGCCTCTTTTCCGTCACGGATAGATGGGATGGTGTTGCAATATGCAACCATAGTTTCTGTTCCCTTTCGGGGAAATGAGAAAGCATTTTTCAGTACAGATATGAAACTCTCGTGGCAAGGCTTTCTTGAACATCATATAAGAGGTCAGGAGAACGAAGAAGCACTCCCCCCCCCCCGAAACACGTTGTAGCCCTAACTTTGCAAAGTTTATGGACCCAAGTATATTCCAATCCGTTTGTATGTTCCTGGAGTTATGATTTCTAATAAAGCGGAACTTAACTAATTTTACTATCATTTAGAACTCATTAATGACTTAAAATTCTAAATTTTAGGCTGGCTAGAAATCTGCGAAGAATGCTGGAAACAACTCGAACGTACTATTTGGCGAAAGGATTTTTCCTTTGGAGATTAGCGATTATTGCAGGGAACAGATGGGAATAGGCGTCAATATCACGCAGATTTTGTAAGTTCGACCTCAAGGTCGGCTTGTGCGTGGATCACACGCCGAAGGACCTATAATTCTTTAGTTTTTCTTTTTCTAGTTTGAGTAAATGCCAGATGTCTGTTCTACAGCTCTATTACTTTTTTTTCCCAGCAGTTTTTGTACTATAATTTGTGATCTCTTGTCCCAATTGGATCGGGCCCATAGATAATTTTCATTTTACTGGTCAATTTCTATATAACGGTACTCATTTCGTCATTGAACACCATGGGACACTTCCATGCAAAATTGCGGGGGTTTGGCAAAAATATGATAAACGGTACGTCGGAAAAAGTTTTTTTCCCATGAGAAGGTAAATCCTTGGATGCTAAGGAATGCGTGTGCCGAATTTCTTCGCTGAATATCCAGCAATAAGATTGTTAGAGCAATAACAGACGGACGGCCGGAATTGCGACAAAGTGCAAGTCATGTGAACGCATTTTTTTCCAGTGCGCTGCATGTTCGGTAAGTGAACCCCTCACTCGGGTTTGGATTATCTCCCTTCCCCCCTCAAACGCGTATTATGCCCTTTTAACTTTTTTATTGATGCTGATTCTATATTTTCTGGAAAGTCGGTTATCATTAGCTCATTTTTATAGCATGCTTAGATTTCCAACAGTGAGTCACGGTCGGTCAACAGGATATGCTCAACTAAAAGCCGACTTCAGCCATCTGCAAGTTAACCGTCTGTCAGTAATGTTTAAATTATGGCTTTTGCATGAGTCAACTTCGCTGATGGCCCTCTGAAAAAATGTTTGACTCGATTTGCTGTTGGAAACTCATGGAAAAGTGGTTCAATCGATGTAGAATTGTTTCCGTCTCTTCACGACAGGAAGCGTTGTTACGAAAAGGATGGAGCCATCACAGCTTTCCAAGAAGATAATTCGGCTTACTGGCAGAACATGAATTGCTGTGAGTCCAAATCCATATCTCTCGGTTCATTATCCACAATCTGCAGAATATCACGCACCCAAACACCTGGCCACCCAGTCGATTGTTTCTACAATGCGACCTCTTTTCGAGAAAAAGAAAAACGAGAAAATTTTGCGAAGAATTTGCTCCGGTGTTGTAATGCAGCAATGTTTAAAATTATATTCACCCTTTCACGGCTTCAGCTCATCAAGATACAAAAAATGCCGCTTTCTAGGAGCGACCGTTCGGGCATAAGCCTAAACATGGAAAATATGCTTAACTGGGCTTATGGAACACGTAACGTTGTTGCTCTTGCAGACTGCGCTCGAGACGCTACGTTTTACGCCCAAATGGGCCTAGACTACCCAACAGGATGCGACGACAAGACAGGCAACTACACGCGGTTGCAACAATTCGGGTCTAGCGAGGGTGCGGTGTCGTTGTGTGTCGACTATCTCGGATTTCAAGATTATTGGAAATTCGACGCCGCTAATACATGCTGCTTGTGTGAATGCAACAGAATGCTGCAGGAATTAGGGGATAATTGTTGCCGACAAGCAGGATTTCCAGATGATCACTGCAAGAAACTAATAGAACAGCTACAATGATACTGCAATGAAGCCTTTCCAGCCGCGGCAACGAAACGAAACGAAATGAAACTGAAGAATTAAATTCATGAAGAACCGAATGAGGAATACATTTCACTTCTTCGTGCTTATTCATTATCTATCTCCATGGTCCTGATGACATGAACAGTGCCTCGAAAACACTCATGAACAGTAGCTCTTTTGGTTGCGATTCGTTCAAAAATTCGAATTGAAAGTTCCTATTTTCGTCATGCTCTGACCAGAGCCTGTGTTTCGTGAAGCATGATGATGAAATACAGACACTCTTGGGTATTTATATTATTCTTTTCATTGGGGGCATTGGGATCTTTTTCTTGGCTCTGACGGCGTTGATAAAGGTGTTCTTTCACGGGTACTGTGCGTACTGCAGAGACTAATTCAGACGCATTGCAACTCGCGCAGCGGAGTGATTCATGCAACGAAATTTCATGCGAACTTGTTTTGCGATTATTGTTATTGTCCTTGATTTTATTAGGTGTTTTTTTTTCCTTTTGCACTGCGTAAGCGGGCACAAAAATATATACTTCCCATCTCCATTCCTCCAGGCGATACAAGATGATACTTTTTTTTTCCTTTATGTAGCGCACAGTTGACTCGTTTATGCCATAGAGTCTACCCACGCTGCACTCTGGCCACTAGCAAGCTTGTCCAATAATTCCACTTTCTGACTTAATGACATGACTTTCTTATCCTGTTTAGCCTTGGATTCACTCGCTGCACCATCACTCACTTTCCTCTTAGGTGCCATGATTAACGGAATGAGTAATCACAGAAAAAAATAGCAAAAAGTCTCCGGCGAGAGCGGGGTGATGTTTACAGTACAAAGACTACACGTCGAGAATGGGCTTGCGGTGAGAGGCGCAGCGCGCTGCGCCTCGCTTTAGTTTTCGCGGCGTACTGTGGAAGCAGGGAATATGTAGTGCTGCTACCCGCGAATAGCCGAAACCGCGAATGAAGAAGCCGCGAATGAGGAAGGCTTGCTGTACTTCGTTTCTGCCTAGGTATACAGTAGACACCTCTGAAGGAGTTACTTGAGTCTCGTTTTAAATGTAAAGTAGGAACTTAGAAAATCAATTAGGAACTGTTCCCAGTTGTACAAAACATTGAATCAACATTGAGTGCTTATTAAACGTCGGATGTTGATTCATTGCTTATTCTATGTTTATTCAATGTTACGTGCTACTGGAGGTATTGCTGAGGATCGCAAATGATACGCTCAAGAGAGTATCATTTGCAAAGTGGGCGTGATTTTCAAATATTGTAAATCAATTGCATTTAAATCAGACAAATGTGACTAGATGAATGGTAAGTATTCCAAGTTCATTTATACCAAGTCAATTTAATCCAAGTCCAAAGTCAAAGCTTTTTAATGAAGTCTAGCTGATTTCACATGAATGATGCATATTAGCAACATTTATCAGAATCAGCATTGACATTCATGCTTGCAATGTAACTATCGCATGGTCCCGTAGTAACATGTGCGATACTCCCAGCACCGTTCTCACATCCAATCACATAATTCTCTGAGAGACGGATGATATGAGAGAGAGAAGACGCTGAAGCTTAGGAAGACTCGCTGAAGATGTCCATGAGATCGTGTTCCTTAACTGCGATGACGAGCATGATGCTGGCACCAAGGGTCATCCCACTCAGCTGCAAGGCCAACCGTCCCAGTACTGACGACCTCGACCCCGTGTGCGGGTCCGTCGACAACTCCGGCAACTGACAAGCAAAAATTGTATAATCATGCTGTTTATGAATGAGTGATCATTGTTACTCTTTCCAAAGAGAAACAAAACCCACCTACACCTCACATAGGCGCTCACATATTCTAGTGTTTAATGATGCAGACCGTTGAAGTCATTCGTTACGTGCATGAATTTCTTTCGAATAAAGGCTCAGCCCTCAGCTCAGCTCAGCTCTCCTCACCAGCATGTTTCTCTTCATGAGAGGTCAAAATTGATCTAACTCTAATCTTCCATGATTGGAATCATTCCATTGTGAGGGTAATTGGCTAGGTTTGAGACTTTGATTTGGTTTGAGTTTCTAAATTCTCAGGGATGAAGATAGTTGAGGACCTATAGTTTAATATTTTACAACAATAATGCAGATGTATATTGATTGCAATGTTGTTTCCATGACTCCCCTAAATAAATAAAATATAGTACACTATGATGGAATTCCTCAACTTCTTAGATGCCTAATGAGACCATCTCTGGAGTTGATCATTGGTGGTGTTGATTTACGAAGTGGGTTACCAGGTTAATTTATTTTAAATCCATAATTGAACAGTATTCCCCAAGCTCAAATTTAACTATGTCTATCAAGTTAAAGACTTGAATCAAAATCTTTACTCCATACAGGAGTTGACTTATGTTCGAATTCTCCTCACAGCCTGAAACAGTGACTCAGTTATTTTATTTCTCCAATATTTCCGCCCTTGCCCTCCCGAGCCAAGTCCAACAGGGAAATTTTGTCAAAACGAGGAAATTAATTGTTTCTGCAGAATTATTTCAGATGCATCTCAACTCAACAGCGTCACGTCCACATTTTGCACGCTCGTGAAGATGGGAAAGATGCTATTGACCCTTAACAATTTCGTCCATGTTCATGGAACGATGCAAAATCATTCGGACAAAAGCAGAAATGATCTTGCTTATCTGAGGTTTCCGGCATGTCTCAATTTTTTTTTGGGGTCAGTCTAGTCTAACCTTCTGTCATGAGCATAGACTAATGCGGTAAAATCATTTATCTTAAAAAATGTTCTTTAATTCTTTACTCAGGCTTAAAATAATTCTGTCCACGTTATTTAAAGAGTTCTTAGACCTTGACCCTTTCCAAATATGAGCCGGCACCAATGACAAGATATACAGTGAGAGACTTTATCCAAAGTTCTGTAGATCATTCGTGAGACTGTCACTTTTTACGGTATCATTCAAAACTTACCGACCACGCAAACTGTTCTTTCTTCCTTCTTTTACCTTTTACATTATCCAGTTGTTCTCAGGTCTAGTACAATAAATCTTACATCCCATGTTACATCACACTTTATAGCAAAAAAAAAAACCTAGTACATGGCGGCCTAAGCATCATAAAGAAACATACAAGGAATGGGATCTCTGAAACCTACGTTTAAAAAAAAAAAGGTTCCTGACGCTCACGCGTTTTCATGACATGTTGACTTCGACCGACTCACCATGTCGACGAGGGCGACGTAGAGGAAAATCCCGGCCGTGAGGGCAAAGATCCAAGAAGAGAAGGAATGGATGTTCCCGAGTAAGACTCCGATGACCATGCCGAGGAAGCAGAGGATCGACGAAACCAGGTTGTAAAAAAGAGCCTGCTTCCCCGTCATACCCGTCTTCAGCAACACCGCAAAATCACCTGCAGATTCAATCACGGAGTCAAATAAAGCCATTTGGAGAATGCTCATTCATATCCTCGTAACGCTATCCTCAATCCTCAAGTACTGTACTTGACAGAATTCATGTGGTTGTTATAAAATGATATCAAGACAAGTCGAATCGATCAAGTACTTTCTAGCTCAAATGATAGAGCAATTGAAGAGCTCTTTGAGGGGTTTTGATCATCCAAATTTGATACCTTACCCAACCGAGCTATTGAGAATGGGAATACTTTTTTGCTCATCCTTTTCTATGTATCTCTCCAGGAAGGTACGTGCAGCTCTCCGTAGTGTGCCGAAAGTCACGTGTCAGTCGTCAAATTCACAAGGGAGAATGCGATAATAATAATAAAAAAGCGAGACCCAACCTGTCTTTCAAATTTTAGGCTTCCACATGTTGGAAAACAGACAAGGTCAACATGCTGGTATGACGCGGTAGCAGCTGTTCAGCCGAGTCCCAGAAGTAGAGTCACAGAACTTCTGAAGGACCTGGAATGCCTCTGGGCTCTACGACCCAACTTCTGTAAGACCTCTGAGAGACCTCTGGTACAAGCCTGATCGTCCCGTATCATCAAATAAGACCTGAATGAGTCTGAGGTCCATTTCGATGACTATGGCAGCAATTGAGTTATGTCTGACGTTTCAGAACACTGTGACCGATGACGTCACTACGCTTGATCGCTTCATCTCATCTGACAAAGATAAGTCTGAATTTTGTTTTAAGTCTGAATGTTTTAAGTTTTGAGTCTTGTTAAGTCTGAATTTTGTTTTGTGTTGTTTTTGAATGTTTTTTTAACATTTACATCGTGAAACATTTGTTCCGTAGGATTAAGCATCTCGCTCGTACCATTTCTATATCTGTAGTTAAGAGTCTTAAAACTTGGCGAATTAACTATGGCTCACCCCGTATTTTCTGAGTTTTGCTTGTAGATTGGGTGTCAAGAAATGATTCACTAGTTCTGCACCGGGCATAAGCAGATTTTCAAGTAAATGGAGGACCAGATCTAACTGTGTCACAAATATGTGCATACCTGTATATTTTGGTGAGTTGAAGTAATGTCACTATAACAACATGGAAGCGATCAGAACAAATAGGAGAACAGGTTGTAAAAAAGAGCCTGCTTCCCCGTCATACCCGTCTTCAGCAACACCGCAAAATCACCTGCAGATTCAATCACGGAGTCAAATAAAGCCATTTGGAGAATGCTCATTCATATCCTCGTAACGTAACTCAATCCTCAAGTACTGTACTTGACAGAATTCATGTGGTTGTTATAAAATGATATCAAGTACTTTCCAGCTCAAATGATAGAGCAATTAAACAGCTCTTTGAGGGATTTTGATCATCCAAGATCATCCAAGGATTTTGATCATCCATACCTTACCCCACCGGGTTATTGAGTATGGGAATTTTTTTTTTGCTCATCCTTTTCTATGTATCTCTCCAGGAAGGTAAGTGCAGCTCTCCGTAGTGTACCGAAAGTCACGTGTCAGTCGTCAAATTCACAAGGGAGAATGCAATTAAAAAAAAGCGAGACCCAACCTGTCTTTCAAATTTTAGGCTTCCACATGTAGGGAAACAGACAAGGTCAACATGCTTGTATGACGCGGTAGCAACTGTTCAGCCAAATCCCAGAAATAGAGTCACAGAACTTCTCAAGGACTTGGAATGCCTCTGGGCTCTACGACCCAACTTCTGTAAGACCTCTGAGAGACCTCTGGTACAAGCCTGATCGTCCCTTATCATCAAATAAGACCTGAATGAGTCTGAGGTCCATTTCGACGACTATGGCAGCAATTGAGTTATGTCTGATGTTTCAGAACACTGTGACCGATGACGTCACTACGCTTTATCGCTTCATCTCATCTGACAAAGATAAGTCTGAATTTTGTTTTAACATTTACATCGTGAAACATCTGTTCCGTAGGATTAAGCATCTCGCTCGTACCATTTCTATATCTGCAGTTAAGAGTCTTAAAACTTGGCGAATTAACTATGGCTCACCCCGTATTTTCTGAATTTTGCTTGCAGATTGGGTGTCAAGAAGTGATTCACTAGTTCTGCACCGGGCAAAAGCAGATTTTCAAGTAAATGGAGGACCAGATCTAACTGTGTCACAAATATGTGCATACCTGTATATTTTGGTGAGTTGAAGTAATGTCACTATAACAACATGGAAGCGATCAGAACAAATAGGAGAAAGATACCGATTTCATGCGGAAGTTCGTGGCAGAGCACGGCGATGGAGGTGGAGAAGCCGCTCGCGAGGCCGGACGCAAACGCTGCCCCGATGGCCAGCCCATCGGTGAAGTTGTGCAGGCCGTCCCCGAGGATCACCATCCACGCCACGGCGCTGATGCTCCCAGGCCTCCCTGTCAACTTGTGATGGTGGTGGTGGCGGTGAGACTCCACGTCGGACGGGTCTTTCCCGCTGCTTCCGTTATCACAGTGAGACGTCGTCGGCGTGCCCGCGCTCCCTCCTCCTTCAAACTCCTTCACTGGTATGTCACCTGGAGAGAAAAAAAACTTATTTCTGGAGGTATTCAATAAATGCTGCCAGTAGGGTAAATCCAAGCAGAATTCGCCAGCTTTTTGTCTTCGAGTTATTCCTCTTTCAAGAAAGAAAATTTATATTCTGCTCGACTTGGAAAGAATTTGAGCCAAAAGAGGGACCCCTATCAATAGATAGATAGGGGAGGGAGACTTTCAGAAAAAATAAAAATCCAATCTAACTTCCATCCTGTCATCAATCAATTTCAGCAATCCAATCATTTTCACCGTAACTCAACGGGGCGAATTGATATTACTTCAAGGAAAATGTTGGCATCCTATGCAGCCCACTCTGCTCAGGCGTGGAAGCGAGGCAAGATGCTACACAACAGGAATAATTCTCACTCAGAGGCCCTTTTATGTTATCCAGCATGGAAGATGATTAGGATCGATGGTCAGACATTACCTCAATTCTTACGTGGCAATCCATGCAAGCATGTAAAACAATATCACAAAATAAGGATCAATGAGTTTATTTTGGTAAAGGAGATCCAGAAACGGTGGAAATCCGCGGCATTACCTTGAAGTGAATCCTCGAAAGAACGGACTGGCGGGTCGCTGCGAGGAAGAAGCGTCTGCCTCTGGTGATGATCCTGGCAGCAAGGGACGCGACTGCCGTCGTTCTCCGGTTCCAGCTCGTTGTGACTGGGAAAGATGCGCAACTCCTCCTCCTCGTAACTCGTCCTTCCCTCCTCCCTACCGGCTTTCCCTCCATTCTCTACAATGACATGTTCTACAATGCTCACAGAGATTCCCAAATATGTGCAATCTCAAGCTTTCTGACACACTCTCTTTACAAATAAAAGGAAGCGATTTGGACTTTTCACTTTCCACGTTTCCTTAATAAAGAATTTTTTTTTAAGTGAGAAAAATTTGTTTGGGAAAACAAATTTTTCCCAAACATTGGACGATGAAAATTAAAACGAAGGAACGGCTGGTAGCAAAGTTAGGAGGGGACTCCCTTTTCAAATCGTTCACGTGGAAAACTACCACAATTTGGTTCGTTGATTCTCTTCTCTGATGATTCTCTTCTAGCAAAAATTCCCTGAAAAAACAGGGCTTCTTGCTTAGAGTATTTCATTGTTACAGCTGAGATCCACAATTTGGACTAAGAGGGTTTATCCTGAAGATTTTGAAAGAGAAAGTCAAAACAATCGCTTAAACGGCAATAACGAGCTGATCGTGCGTGGGTGGCCCAGCAGATATCAACCACCAGCCTGGTTGCTCTCTCGCTACTTCGGTGGCTCTCTTATTTCCCCCTTTGCCTCATCTCGATTCTCCTCCTCCTTTCCTTGAGGCAAGTGACATCATTTATGCAATTTCTTGCCTCAAGTAAGTTGAAAAAAACTTTCCTTAAGAAGATGGCATGATTTCCTTTTCTTTCTTTTCCATTTGAATCTGTGAAAAATCTCCTTAGGTTTCCGTTTGCAAAAGGAGAGGAGAAAGGTGTGGCAGTGAACCAACGAAACATATTTCACATTTGGTATATATTTTTCTCCTTTTATTGCTTTTCAAGAGTTCCCATTCGTTGTTTTGGAGTTGTGATCTGAAAAAGTTCGTGGCATTATTTGTAATTCGAAGATAGCCGTTATATACTAGGTACATAAGCACAGTCAAATTTTCTTAGCTTTTAACTGAATAACTATGTGGTGGGACACGAATCTCTCAAATTCGTTATATCGTACGGACGAGTGGATTCCTGACATGGCTGAGGCTGCCTGGTCGATTGTTTGACTACATGCTATGCACACCGAAGCGCCAGTGTCTCAAAGCTTCTCACCCATGTAATGCTCCAAGGATGGTATCGAGCTTGAAAGGTTGGGACGTGGATGTTGGTGGTCCTTTTGCTCTGATCGACGACGTTTCTTCCCCACACCGTCGCCCTGAGACGTAAATATCCATTCAACAACAATCGAATTCCCACGTATCAGGGTTTTCCTTTTCAAGGACCGCGTACTTCTTTTTCATTAGATTCAAAATCTTCTCTGGAAACATGCACGCATGACTACTCCGAGGGTCACAAGAGGGCAATGGAATCATAATAGGATTGGCACAATCCTATTAACATTTCATTATGTGAATCAGGGCAGTGAAATGTATACGGATCATAATCATAAGTATATTCCAATCAAATATAAGCCAATCAAATGGTAATCGCCAAACCCCATGCCAATAAAATGAAATAAAAATTGGACACTAACCAATATCTTTAAAAATTAAAAATAATAATGATAACCAATATCTAGTGCACAGGAATACAAATTGAAACTAAAAGGTACTTCATAGGAATCTAACGAGACGTCCTTGACAGATGCCTTTCACATTTGGATTTTGAAGTTATCTTTTTTTTAGCCATTGGAAGTTAAAATTCATTCCAAGTTCATGTTGCGAAACAATGATGACTCAGGCCGCGATTAAATTCAAAATTTTGAAAAACATTGAATGATGGTGTCACCACTCAGTGCTACTAAACCCAGCAAAAAATTAAATAAAAACTTCAAAGGCATCCATGTGGGACGTCAATCCAGACTGTAGCGATGGAATACCCGACTTTTAGGGGGGATTGAGTATAAGGAATTCAACGTGACTGCATTTTTGGACCACTCGATGGAGCTTGCAACAGAAGAATTCCTGGAGGGTTATCAAGACGATGAACGAGATTAATCAGAAATGACAATGAGAGGCCGACCTGATTCGCCTTGGCTTCCTTGTAGCTGCTGACCATCCCGACAACCCTCTCAGTGAAGAAGAAGAACGCCATGCCGCCCAAGGTGGCCAGGGACTTGTACACCGCCTTCATCTCGTCACCAGCTCCCTTGTCGCCTCCCTTGCCCATGCGCAGGCGGGGAAGGAATTCCAAGCGCTTCTCTTCCTCGTAGGTATCCGCATGTCCGTCGGAGAATGCCTGCAGAAATTAGAACACAACTTGGAACCTGTGTCGATGAACTACTTTCATCACTTCATTGCACATTAGAGTGCCTTTTACCTTACCATGCAGAAAGGTTATATTCAATCACTTCTCGTTTTGTTGCTTAAAAAAAAATCAGTTTCTTGTGAGCTTGGACATCTCTTCGATTCTGAGTAAAACTAAGGAAAATCTGAGTGGACGCATTATGTTACGTCATTGACGGAAGCGAGCAGAAAAAGAAAGTAAATCAGACCTCAAACCCGTACTGTTCTTTCAAACGTTCATGAAGTATTCATTATTCAACCTGGAAAGTTATTTCTTCACATTCATGTCAACAAACATGAACATATTCAACTACTCTTTTTTTAACCAATAATTTGAACTTTCTAATACGGGGACGCCACTGTGAGATCCAGCCAACTTCTTATCCATTAGCAACATCTTTTCTGTTGTCCTAAATGTCTCGTGTTGAATTTCAAATAAAGAGAACCCAGATTTGAAAAATCAAAACGAATTCCAAGTAATGCAAGAGCGAAAAAGAGGAAATGGACAGACATGAGGGAGAAGGTGGAGGAGGGCATCGCCGGTCAGAGACCCGATGGCCATGGCGACGAGGAACTGGAGGAGGTGACGGTAGAACACGCGATGCATAATGGGGATCACCAGCACTCCCAGCACTCCGCACAGACTGATCACCAACACGCTCACCAAGGAGCACATCCAAACTGCAACCGACCGACATTCACCCTAATCAATCTATCCAATAATCAACGAACGACATGAACGGATCCATTCTGAAGGATCGATTTGACAAAATATACCATCCCATTATATATTCTCCATTAGCAGAAATTCAAGATTATGATTTTTGGCATGAAATAATTTGGGCACAAAATTTTTTGAGACTAATAGCATATTTTTTTATCTTCGCAGTCTCATTTATCCTTACATATGTTGTCTTGTTCCTTCATAAATGGCTTCAAATGGACAATATATTATGGAATCACCACTTCCCACTACATTGCATGTCTCCAGTAAAAAAAAATATTTTAAATGAAGCTTTTACAGTGACTAACCCTCATTTTAACTTCAACAAAACTCCCTGCGATCAATATCACTTCCTACCCTGGAATATATTTGATAGTATAAAATAATAAACTAAATGTCGGTTACGTAACATCCCGAGATGGTTTACCCTTGAAGGAGTCGTACGAGTCCTCTTCCGCGTCGGCGTTCGCTTCAGAATGATGACGATGATGGAGGCCTTCTCGACACACACTTTGGTCCAGCTCGTAGACGATGGCCGGGCAGAGGTGAAGGAAGTTCACGTACGAGATCACGTCGGTGTCCGGCGTCAGCCCGTAGGATTCGTATATCTCCTCGGGGCTCAAACACTGAAACCCGCCAAAATAGGCATGTTGGAACCTTCGCATTTCACTAATGAGAACTTAATACATAATAACCACTAACAATTGCTTGAAGAACTAAAACAACGTCGGAGAGATGCTCTTTCTTTTCTGCTGTCTTTTTCCAGATTAATAGTAAATTATTAAATGACTTCCTTAGCGCTATTTCGCCAGAAAATTGCCCCCATTCACTCTTTCAACTTCTTTTCGGCGATGTCATATGAAGAATACCCAGGATGTTCTTTCCATTTTTCGTCGCCAAGGTATTTGTGATTCTCGACCAGCTCTGTTGAGAATTAATTGACTCTGGCGAGATCATCTCGCTTGAGCTGACTGACTTCCGTCCTGCTTTCGGTCATAGATCTCCCAAGCCTTAATTTAAAGCCAGTCGGAGATCACAGATGCGGAACCATCTTCATAGCTCAATCTAAAAAATGTTTTCTTTATTCGCTATTCCGTTACCTTTTACCATCTCAAACGAGACTCTGGTCGAGTAATGAAGTAACAGGAAACAGTTCGTGTTAACACGGTTATCAGGACTACTTAGAGAAAAAAATACAATTCTGGCAATTTAATTTTTTCTAATTAATTTATTTGACGGATTATCTACGTTATTCATATCTTATTAACTTACGGCTTATTTTTATAATTTTTTTACAATTCCATTTCGTGCAATTCAAAACATCCATGTATAAATTAATCGGCACACAACTCTGATGCAATTTCGATACAAATGCAATTCCGATGCAAATCCACCACAGGAGGATACTTATTTCCAATTTTTAATTATTCGACCCTGTCCATCATATCCTGCTCATCAATTTCTCTTTCGCTATCCCCGTCTCAATCAGAAGTTGCAGTTCGAAGTAATTAGGAAGGAGTAATGAGACGAGTGCGAACCTTTCTGCCTCATTTTCCCTAAATTCTTTTTTATATTTTTTTTTAGTTTTCTGTTCCATTAACTTCAAGAATCCATTCTACCCCCTTCATATATAGGGTAAAATAGTGATAGTGATGGACCAGTTCCCAGTGTTGGACCACAGCACATAAAAATTCTAACAGCTACGCTTCCATAGCAAGCCTAATGTGATATAGGCTGGCAGCACGCAAGCACCTACACACTTCAGAGGTGTTCATGTTACAAATTCCTAGTTTTTGGAATTTTCCTGCGCCGCGGTCCATCACTGAGTACACACGCCCTAACAGGCCCATCATTGGGTGTTTTACCTCATTTCTGAGAAGAAAGGAGTGCATTTCGTCTCTATTTTCTGCATTTTGGGTATCTCAGATCTTTCCTGAATGAAACGTCTAGAAGTAAAAAGATTTGGAAAGCAGAATTCGAGAAGAGACCAAGTCCATTACGTAAGTGAGATTTATTAGTTAATGAGGATATTTCATGAGATTTATATTTTATTAGTGAATTTACTTGGAGTTTATGGGAGGTGAGCGAAAATTGCACCACGTTGCGATATACCTCCTTAATTTTTTTTTACTATCGTAAAGAATCGGCGAATGCCTCCGTCGCTCTTACCTTTTTTTCAATGATGATGACGTCGACTTCGGGGGCGAGGTCGCGCGAGGCCGACGTGGCCGACATGTGACTGCTGGACAGGTCTTCGATCTCTGTCAGGATGTTCTCCTCTTCCACTTATGGTTGAAAATGCAACATTACGCACTTTATCAAGCAAGACATTAGTCAAAGCAAAAAAAAAATAATAATAATAAGGAATTTTAGCAGATCAGAGAAATATGAGCTAACATCCTAGACGACATGCGGCAGAAAACTCCAGATTTTAAACTATGAAAACTTTTTTTACGTGGATACCTACATCCTTGATTTTTATGACAGTGTTCCACAAGGAACACTGGCATTGACTTCTCATGTCGGACTCTTGATTTTTTAAATCAAGAGTCCGACATGGGAAGTGATTATGAGACAATCGAGAGGAGACCGTCTGACCGTCTCTCCAGTACAAACAAGAATGGACGGACATTCGTTCCCGAGTCGCGGCCGCGAACTACGTGGAAACCGCGTGGAAGCGGCCGTGAGAGTGAGAATGCAAGCTAGCTTTCTTCCGTTCACGAATATTTCCATCTGTTTCGTTGTTCCCCCGACCTCATTCTGCATCAGCAGCATCTCTGAATATTCCATGAGGATCGATCCCTGAAGGCCTCCCTTTAGTCTTCGACTCGGAACGAAGTAACTTCCAATTCCGATCCCCCGGAAAGCAAGCGAAAGCCGGTCTTATGCAAGCCGGTGACATGCAAATCGGTAGCAGGCAAGCCGGTGACATGCAAATCGGTGATTATTCTCCATTTGAATCAGCTTTCCCCGCGTTTCCCTCTTCTGTCTGCTACTGCCATACACGCACTGGCCAAAGAAAAAGAAATCCGTCTCAGCCGCAGCGACTTCGGCATGGCTTCCGCGGATTTTCGACGCTCTGCAGCGAGAATTCATGAACTCTCGCTGGAATTGACGTCAGCGTCAATTCCAGCGTCAATTCCACTGACACTGTTGAACTGCTCGAACCGGCACACGTTTTTCGCTTTTTGGCAGATTGGCATCAAAATTGGAGGATTTTGCCATTTTATCTCAAGAATCCCGGCATCGAAACTGAAAAAAATATTGAATAAAACTGACAGAAATCGAGCGAGAATTTAAACAGGTTCTTGATTACCTATTTTGACTGATTGATTGACGCAAAAGACATCACACTACAATCTCGACGTTGTCGAAAGAAATTCCTTCCCTGAATCCCGCAATAAATCGGAGCAGCATCAATCTGCAGTGTCGAACAAATCTCTGTGTCTCAGTGTCAGTCTCAGTGTCGAACGAATCTTCGAATCTAAGAATAGGAATTAAGAGCTAGACGGACAATAATTACATAACTTTTAAGTCTGTAGTGGGCGGCGGATCTTTTTGTAGTTGTTAAGGTGGGCCGCGGAACACTCGGCGAAGGAGCGGAACGGACCGACAGCCGACAGAGACTGTCGGCTGTTGTCGGTGGTTCTGGAGACCGTCAGCGACGGACTTGGATGAAAGAGCGGGGCGATACGTGGTGGACAAGGATTGCAAGGAATTGGGTGGGATCTGACTGGAAAGCCTATTTCCTCGTGACGTATGGTGCTTTCCAAGTTATTTAGTTCCCGAAATGAAGCTCAGGGTGCTCGCATTTCTGTTCAAATAGCACAAGCACTTATTCGCAAGAAATCTGAGGCGTAGCGAAAAAATAAATATAAATAAAAACCGGAAAAGAGTTAGACACATGCATTCCAGGATTCTTATCCCAAATACGAGTGGGACCTGGGACAGTTCCAGAGCAGCCTTGAAATTGATCGGGTTGCCCGGAGGCGTTTCTCACAGCAGGGAAGAGGTGGAAGTCGCTCTTTCCACTAATTGCTGGAGATGCCTATCAAGGACTGTCCCAAGATAGCGTCTCGGTCGGAATGAGGTTCGTGTCTGTTTGGCTGATGCTTGTCATCTAAGGGAAAAGAACGCGAAGTGCATGCACACGTAAAACTGCTCGGCGCATTTCTTTTTTTTCACATATGCAATCAACTCCGCATATTGGAATCCTCACGGGACCAGCGAAATTGATTCTATAATCCGGAGTATTTCAATAACCGAAACTATCTTCTGTATCGTACCGTAAATCGGGACCGTGCTATGGTATTTCATTATGCGGAGTCGACTGTATTAGGTGATTTCTAGGTGAATTCAAGTTGAACCTTCAGCAGCCCAACACGTTTAAATGGTGTATATCTGTGATTTACGGGCATTCTGCCACTTTTTTTATAGTCTCGCACACCACCAGTATCTTGAGCATACTCAAGTAATTCACTCTCACGTCCCTAGTATTCCAGTGAAGCACCATATTGCACAATTACATAAGCCTATATAGTACAATTAGCTGCACTTCTCACCGGGAGGAGGCTGAAGTCGGATGAAATTCTCTTGTTCGTGAGATCGTTGAGAATCTTCGAGCTCAACGGCAAGCGCATGGGTATGGTTGACATCATGGAAGCTGAGAAACTTGCCGTTGTCCTTAAAATGGTCGTACACCTCGTGGTCCTCGATGACGACGCGACCCAGGCCCAGGTTCTGGAGCAGGTGCTCGAACCCCTCGTACGTGATGACCCCCTCCGACCCGTACTTATCGAAGATGTGCCTGAGGAAGCGAGTGTGGTCGAGGGAGGCAGCAGCGAGGACGCAGCCGCCCAGCACGCACCACGCGGCAGACGCCCAGTGGGACCCGAGCGGCCGAAGGAGCATCTCGTCTCGTTCTCTCTCCGACTGCTTGTCTGCACCTCGAAGGTTCGCTGGAAAGATAAGGGGGACACTGGAGACGAGGAATCAACATCTGCAAACTTTCACAAACGGTGACAGTTGTTTTGTTTACCTTCGTCCCTTCTGCGCACGATTCAACCGAGCCCATGACGACCTCGGGCAGAAGATTCGAGTCATTGAAAACTATCTCACGCAAGAGAGGATGGGATGAAACAAAGGACATACATGTTTACATACATCTATATTTAAGTTTATATTAAAGTAACATGCCATATTTGAAAGAAAACCACATGACCTAGCTTCTGAAGCATATCATGTCAGTTCTGTGCTCGATTTTCCCATGAAATCAATTTTTATTTTAAAATTTTCTTGTCATGAAGCTCAAAGAATGCTTCCGAACGAAGTGAAATCCTCCTTAATCTCAGTGTTGCATGGACTGTCTCTATAGGAATTCTAATGAGGCATAACCGCCGGTTATTTCATTCATGGTTATTTTTTTATGGTACGGTTATTTTAACCCTTTCGATACTATAATCATGTACGGCGTAAGTCATTTAATGTACAGGTTTTACTACCTATAGTGGCACACAGGAAGGCTGTTTTCTGCCTTAATGCAGTACATGAAACTTCCTGTTGATGTTTCGATAACTTTCCCTTAGAACCCGCGAATTCGTGGCATATGGTAGGTCTAATGGCAGTGCACAAGGTTCAAGTTGCATGCTACTTACGTTACTTACTCAGCATTGAAAGGGTTGATTATATCCGGTAGAGGTATTCAGAATGATTCTGGTGAGTGATCATAAAAGACAATACTGCAGGCCATTATTGCTAGCTCTCTCGTGGGCTGATTGTCCATTTGTATGCGGAGATTGACTCTCATCAGCCGCCAATCGGCCATCAGACAAACAAATCCTCATTGTGAAACCATCGGTGAATGTAAGAATCCGAAATGGAAGCCAAAAAAAAAAAGGCTCGTTTCGAAAACTTTCTTGGCGCGCGCAAAGAAAGCTCAATGCGAGGTCGTGTCGATTGTCCTGAGCCCTATCGAGTATCGGTTGCTCCCCTCTATCATGATCGTGTGCAACGCTTCGGCATCGTTGTCTGTTATTGGCCTCGGGGGATAGGCAGAAGAGGCGCGGGTGGATGCAATCGATACGGCAACAGAGAGAGTGTCACATGGATGATGTCTCGGGGGTGTTCACAACTTGTTGATGCGGTGATGAAAACTCTTTCTGATTCCCATTCTTGGAACTCCTGATAGAGAACCACGCCAGACACTTCCCTGCATTCTCTCGATGAGTTCTGCTAAAAGAAAGCGAGCGTCCTTCGCTGCTAGTGAGAAGCTTGAGGAAGGACGATGATAGAAGGTCACTTTCCCATTCGAGGCGAACGGATTGGGAGAAGCGTTGGCATCACGAACTCCGACGAAACTTACTGTCCGGAACCTATGAATCCGTTGAAATAGCTTCCGTTCATCGACGAAAGGTAATCACTCTGGAACAGAAAGTTGAATGAGCGTTGCTGTAAATTGCAACATTGGTTTTATTTTCAAGGCTGTTCTGTGGAGGAAGGTCCCTCAGAGTGGAAGATCCTGTATAGGAGAAAGTTTATCTTCCTGATTGTAAAGTAGCATGGAACTATTTATTCTATTTACTGTATTTTATTACGTTCACCCTAGTACGTAAAGTACCATATTGCAATTCTCTTTTACTTGCCGCCTGCTGTGAAGGTCGCAGGCTGGTAGGTGCATATAGCATATATTAGCATTTCTTCAATACACTAGATTGTGTACGTTCTCGTGGCTTCCCAAGTACTATTTAATACCTTCTTTCGCGGGGAAAATAATAACTTTTCAAAGTGTCCAGTTGCTAGTATTATGATCCCAACTACTGGATTTAGAATATTAAGACAATAACTGTAGTCGCTCTTCTCCACAAGAACAGGTGCACGGAGTAGTGTGACGCATCACGATCGCAAGGAGAGTGAGGATGTTACTGATATGGTTCCTGGAACCCAATGAATACAAAGAGGGATGTGTACGGAGTGAAAAAAAAAAGAAGAGAACCGTATCCGAAATGCGAGCGTGCTGTTGCTCACGTCAGGAGTAAAAGAGGAGCACCTCGTCACAACCTCGCGTTTTTTCCACGTGCCGTCCCACATCATCGTTCGAGGAGGGCGAGTGGGAGAGGTGGGGTCTGCTTTCCCTCCGAGGTACTGTCAAAGGGCAGCCGTTTCTCTGAGGATTGCCTGGACTGTCTTCCATCCTTTCCGTTCTCTCGTCTGGCAGCGGCTTATTCGGTACACTGTAATTACTTCCAGTACTTCGGCTCATTTTCCAGGGAGTGTGGAACCTTTCATACGATGACGTCAGGCCATCTGTAATGCCAAACTAATTCCTGAGAAGAGCGATGAGGGGGGGGGGGAATTTTTTGCACGCACACTCCTTCATGATGGGAGGAGGGGAATCAAAAGCTTTCCGAGTCGAGAAAGCAAGGTTTTTCATTCCTTGACACACTTTTAGGCACTTTTAGGACGTATTTCAAATGGCCACGAATATGCATGGTGAATGACTCAAACAGCAAATATGTACCGTATCACGACACTCAAGTTTCTGAAAATGAACTGAAAAGAGAGATATTTCAACTGAAAAAGATAAAGTCGAAAGACTTCTTTCATAGCTCAGCAATGACTGCATTTAGGACCATGTTTTCTGCAGCCTTCTCTCGACCGCCGAGGATTTGTTATTTATTTTTCCTTATTTACCTACCCAGTCAAAATTTTTCGTTGGTTTATTGTCGGGCCATGGCTGGGGAAGTTGGCTCATTTTCGGCGAATGATGAACCAATGTGGCTGAGAAGGTTACGAAAACCGGGGTGAGATGGAGCCAAAGTGGTCATAGTAGGGAGTCACTTCCCGGATTCTGCTGAAATGAGTCCCCTGTCTCTTTGACATAGTTCCCTATGGTATCTCACATACAGTAGATCTCACAGGAAGACAATTGAATTCCTTGAAACATTTCTCTGAAGATGTAACCTAGCCCTGGAATAAACCATGAAATTCCGGCCCGTAGGTCCGTGGGAGGATCCTACTTTCCCCTATAGGCCACGCGACTGTTTTATTTTCCATTCATTGTAAAATCCTCCTACGCGTAAAGCGTGCCTGGTCTCCTGCGGGAGGACAGATACCCTTACATTCCCTTGTGATTCCATTCCTGACTGCCTTTGCATCCGGAAGAGGAATTGCTTGGGTTATTCTTGGCGATTGGAGTGTACCTGTGGAAGGTACTCTGATACTTTGGAGACCAAAGGATGCATTCTTATCTCTTCAAGATCCGTAAGACGGCCTATATACGCGTCGGCGAAAAGCCATCGATGGCCCGCTGAAAAATGTTTGACTGGGTAGGTAAATATACTTATCTTCCACTTCTCTTAGCCGTCCTTTTCGTGAAGCCTGGAATTATAGGCTCCTATACCAGCAAAGATGATTTTCTCTGGGTACAGCTACCTCTAAGCCCGTAAATATGGGATGAAACTCGATCTAACTACCACCCCTCCCCCCTCTTAACCCTTTGACGAGTATGCCCGTATATATACGGGCTGACATCCTCTTGCCCTCCACTACGGGTGATCTAGACGTTAAAAAAAAACACTCCTCAAAGGGTTAAAATGCAACTAGGTCGTCCACGTGTCATCCCATCTTCCCCCAAGCAGCCTGAAACCTCATTGTGGGAGACTCACTTTGGCCCAAGCGGTTACTCCCGGGGGTATTTCTCCGTCCGCGGTGATTCCAGTGGGCGTCCCTTTCCAATCGGAAATTATCGCTTCACTCGGTCGGCTTCATTGAGGGCGCACATGACAGAGAGGCGTTCGGGGAGACAATGCCGATATCATCACCTGTCATCGTTCGGGTCAACAGTTCCTCGAAGGTGTGACGTGCGTCCAAGTGACACGCCGATCGGAACCGAATCCGATTCTTTTCTATTTTTGGTTACCTTAAGCTGCATCGCATTTCATCTTACCCGGTTTACGTTTGGGAAGCTTTTCGAAATTCGCCGCACTACCTCCAACGATTCACATTTGAGTGCGAGAGACTTGAAGCATGACGTCATTTATCTTTCGACTTAACCCGTAATAGATACAATTAGCCGAACACGCGCTGTTGACGGTAACTAAATCTAATAAGATTTGTCTGACGTTCAATTGCCACGAGGAGCTGGCGCGAAGTTTTACCATTATTTTCAATATCATCCAGCCTATTACGAATACCTAAGGCACGATGCAACCGACTCCATGCACCCCGCATGGAGTCGGTTTGCGTAGATGGCAGCAAACCCTTGCGAACGGGAGGTTCTCTTTCCAGCTTTCCTCCTCTTTGTCGGTCCATCCCGGCTGTCTCCGGCAGGGATCCGATGAAAGGACCTGTCCAGTATCCATCCGTCGATTTCATCTTACAAACGCCTGACGGTGACCGAGATGCTGGAGATTTACAAAAGAGCTGGTGACAACCACAGAACCAAGACAGCGGACAAGAATTTGTTCTGTCTGTGACGTCGCGTCGAAACCCTCGATTGGAGCCTGCAAAGAAAGAGATTCAAAGGGGTCAAGGTCTCAAAGGAGTCAAGGGGCCCGTTCCTCGCCTGTGCTAAACTTAAATCTAAATCTAAATCTAAGGGTGGATTTTTGAACAGAGTACTATCCGATAATGCTGCTTTATTTACCGGATTTATAATGCATTTTCTCAGAAATAAAGCTGCAACTCGACGATGACGCCAGAGAGGGGGGGGGGGGGGAACCAGTTCGAGTTGCGAAAGCCAAGAGTGAGACTCGAGTTGCGGTATGGCTTCTTTTCGTGAATGAGTGAATGAGTGAGACGAGTTCGGTGTGGAGTTTTAACAACAGATTCAATGTCTTCATAATCTGCATGGGAGAGAGAAATGTAGCTGTTTTGCAATTAGGCCAATTTGCTATGTTGTAATTAGGCAGTGGATTGGCACGCTCCCACAGATATAGTGTATATGTCTTTATGTCTTTAGCACTAGAACTACTGGAGCAGTCAATTTGACCGTTGTATTAAAATTAGTATCAAACTATTATTCTGTAAATTTTACTCTTTTTTTCCTGATGTTATTTATGTTCAAAATGTTAAAGTGTTCAAAAAGTCTATATTTTTGATAGAAAAAGTAAAAACTGCGAGGGTCCCTAGTTGTCGAATGAGCAGAGTAAAGTGCATCAATGAGCAGAGTAAAGAAAAATCAGCTAGCAGTAAAAATGACTGTCCTATTGCTAGTTCTAGTGTTAGTGGGGGGGCGCCAGCCTTTATGAGTTCTCGACGGAGACTCAGGATATCAATATGGGCAGAAATGTCTAAACTCAAACTTTAAACCTAATTTTCTAAATATCGGAATTTTGCGGATTATGGCTTCCATAACTTTGACAGATTCCGTGGCCTGTACAGACTCCATTGAAGATATTGAGGTGCGAGTTGCAAGGATGGATAGCGAATTCGTGGAAATAAGTCCGTGCGGACACACAAGGCATAAATAGACCGATCGTGTCTGATGTTTTTGGATTCGCCTTTCCCGTTTATTTATTTATTTATTGTTTCTCTTTGGGGCTTGAAGCTGTGAAGTCATTGATTCCTTCAGGTGATATCGTTCCGTGTACTTCAATCATTGCTTCTACCATTCGTGATGATTGCGATCGCCAAGTGTCTCGCGAGTGGTGTTGACAACGGTGCCTGAGAATAGGGGAGAGGGGGGGGAAGGAAAGGAGAAGGGGGAAAGGGGGGAAGAAGGGGAAGGGGGGAGAGGTCCGAATCCGAAAACAGTATACCCTGCATGGTGGTCGGCCTTGAAAAATCATATTAGCTGACAGCGCTCGACGATCGGCTTCAGACTTTGGCCTGTTATCACGGGAGCGAATCTTTCTACGAACCGAGCCACTTGTTTCCACCAGAGCTACTCTCTTGCTCTACACCTTTTGGAAAGCAAAAAATGGAGAAAAAGCGCAAAATAATCTGGTGAAATCATTTATATAATTTTTGTTTTATTTAATTTTTCAGGACGAATGCGTTTCGAACATTGCTTAAATAGCCGATTGCCTCATTCATGTCGTATCACATGACTGCGTGGAACGTGTTCGCCGAAGATTTAGCGCCTGGGATCTGTAGATATGCAAAGTCGAGCGATTCTTCGATGGAAAAGTGGCTAGGGACATGGGCGGCCGCTAGATGTCAGGTGGATCGTTTGTTGCTCTACTCAACGCCATGCGCAATGTACACTGTTTCCAGATTGAATTCCCCTATAGGAGCGCTTCCATCGATTGCAGGTAGTGACATCTTACACATGGGTAGTTTTGTCTGTCGCCTGCTGAGGAAATGTGTGTTTCCTTCATTCACCACTATAGGGGGATGGTACGAATTCAATCCGGAAACAGTGTAGACGAAGACGCAGTGAATTATTTCCAGCTCGTTCTTGGCTTTTTCCCCATCCCGTGGGAATATTTCATGACTGCTACTCTCGCGGCAGGTTTTCTCATCTCGACAGATTTAGGAAGGGTTCCAGGGAAACCGTTTCGGATGCTTCCGTGGAATTGAAAGGAATCCAAAACCAGGGAAAGTTGTAAGGCGGGATTCGGCGGAGGCCTAGCCTTCAGGCAGAGTGTGAGCAAAATTTCACTTTAAAATGGACGATTGCGAAGCCGCAGCGAAGAATTCATCGCGGGTGACTTCTTGTCCGGGCCGAGGAGATTCTTTTGACGGGATGAATTCGTCTCAAACCTCGGGGAAGGCCGATTTTATTCCGTCGCTTCTTGCAATCAAATCTGGATCCATTCGGGGGATTGTCCGGATCCCCGTAATTGCGTTCTCATCCGTAGAAAACAGTATTGTGAAGCAGAAACATATTTTCATTCGTAGAATTTTACGAATTACGAACTTACCCACCGGGTGAGCGTTTTTCAGCCGTAGGTGCCTTATAAGGTCTCGCGACAGGATCGGCCCATAAATAAAAAAGAATGTGCGTTTTTAGAATACATTATAGCCTATCGATTGCTTTTCTCCCGGTCTAGGATTGTCTCCTTTTTCCGCAGCAAATCCCAAACATATTCATATTTTATACCCGGGGGGGGGGCAGTTAATCGATAATGTATGGAATGGCTTACCTTGCCGGTCCGATTGATGCGATTGAACCGGTTCGACGTGAAGGCTGAGAGGCGACGCCGTGTGTGATGTCGCCGCGCGCTGACGAATTCCACGTCGACTGTCGACTCTCTACGGATCCTGAAGATGGCGGGACGAGCGGGGATCCTCGGGATCCTCGATTCCTCCGTCGCGCTTCGATCTTTTGCAATGAAGTCGGACTATTTCTGTCTCATCGCGGCACGCGTCACCCATTCTCCGTCGTTCTGGAGCGCCGTCGACTTCTCCATGATTCGACTCTAGTGGATATCGTTTCCCATTCTCGGTGAGATAATTTCTTCCGTTTTCTCCGGACGGCACGAGTTGCAGCATTTTATTTGTCCTTGAATTCATCGACGGCATTTTTCTCTCGTACCTAAAATAAATGCACTTCCGTAACCGCGTGGGGGCTTGTTTCCTCTGATTTTCCTATCCGAAGCTGTTGGGGGAGCATATGCTTCCGAAGGGTCGCGCCGCGATTGAAGAGATTGAATGAAATTGAAGAGAGAATTGATCGGCTGGCATTCCGAGGAAGTTGAATTTCCCATTTACTCTCGAGAAAGCCAGCGATTCCATCTTCATTCTACGATCTTCGTTCTTTAAGGGACCTGGATATCATTAAGTGATGAGTTGCAGTGGACCTCTGGCCTGGTCGGCACAATCACCCGATCGCGATATAATTCTGTAGGGGTGGATTCATCCAGTGATGAAACCCGAACGGCATCGATGGGATATTGGACCGTATAACAAAAGTGATGCGAGTGATGAGCAGTTCGAGATTTTAATAAAAATTGCGATTATTGGGCGTTTCCGTGCCGGGGAACAAGTTTCGAAGGCGCTCAAAGGGTTGAGAAGAGGCCTTCAAAGACGAAGCAAAAAATTAAATCAATATAGCTGTGACTAAAATAAGGATTAACAGACAATAAAAAGCCTCTAGAGGAGCGAGACGGCCATAACTGAGCGCTCGACCCCGACTGAGGATGACTGGACGGGAATGCATGATTATTCATGTCTTGACCTCTACCTTGAACCCGGGTGTTTTGGGCAACACTGTGGGAATGGTGCCCTTCGAGGATACCACGTGATTTCCAAGTGGCTTTGTTTATTCTCTAGGTTTTTCTACGCAGGGGAATCAGGCGAAGGCCAGGCATTGCCTTACGTAAGCTCATGGACGGACTGCACTTATTGGGTTCCACAAACCTGTTAGAGGCGAAAATTAATTGTCAGGACAAGGTTGTGAGTGTGACACTCAGAAGTAGAACTCGCGTTGGGCTTCGGCCTAGTGGAACTGTAGCAACTAGGAAGACATTGAGAGTTGCTACTGAATGCCCTGGGTTCGGTGGTATGGCAACACACCAGAACGGCGATCAGAAAGCCTAGAATCGATTCCTGGCCGTTTCCTTGTGTTCCTTCGTCTTTTGTGCCTTCCTTGCCTCCATTATCAATAAGACCACAAGTGTTACAATAGGCCTAGCCTTTTCTGTGGCATCAGTTGGGGTCTCCAGCTCATGTTGTTTGCATGGAACTAATTCCCTCCAATTAAATTTCAGTTCTGTTTTTTTTTTTTTTTTCAGAAAATAGTTTACTATTGTTGACTATGGTGCAAAGATATTGCAAGTGGTTGTCAGTGTAAGGCATCAATCATTCCATTATTATTGATTATTTTGCTTGGGAATTGAGGTATTTAACTATCATTTCACTGTCAGCTACCCAACTAAGGGAATTAGCCTAAAACATTGGGGTTACAGCCCCTAAACAAAGTTTGATGCAATATTTACTTCCAAATGGCATTCTTTGCTGAACTAAAAATGCCATATTCAAATTGTCCCAAATGGTCCAAAGAAATGACCAACATTTTTGGCCTACAGATGTAATACCATGGAAAATTTAGGCAGGAAATTTACAGGGTAAAACACCTAACATATTTCAGTGATTTCATGAAAATATGGATAAAACTGGTCATTTAGAACAATTGTAACAAAGGAAATAAATATTTTCTTGCTTATTGTCAATTGAATGAGCAAATCTTTCTCTACATGTTTACATGTCTGCACAGCTGGACTGGATTATTGGGGGAATATGAAAAAGCAGACATCTCAGCAAAGGTCAGAATGTTTGATCTTGGTGAACCTGTTGCCAGAGATGCATTCATTTTAATGTTCAATAGTGGTGACTTGAGAATTAAGCACTTTTGAGCATTGATTTTCATTATTTACATTTCTTTCCATTTAAATTTCTTTGATCTACTTTCATTGGAAACTGAAGATTTA